ATCCAAGTTTGTATAAGGTTTTGTACAGATTTTATACAGATTTTATACAAATATATCAAGAATAATCATATAATATTGAAGAATATAATCTAATTAGATTTTTGAGATCAATTTAGTTAATAAAATGTCTATTATTTATACCAGATTTTCGAAAAAGTTGTTCAATATTCCGATATGAGCTAAAAATCCAATATCATTATACAAAATTCAGAGAATTCAATAAAGTATTCCAATATAATCAGGAATCCGGTATAACAGAATCCGGTATGACCAGGTTCTACTGTAACTATCAATCATACCAAACTAGATGAGGTCTAATCTTTGTTATTTGTGGAATTATCAATTAATACATTTTGCTGATTCTTCTAGTTATACTATGATCTCTTTGTCTTCCGGTGTGATCGACAGCTAGGCCAACTGCGACTGGACTCGTTCTCAGTTAGCTGAGTTTAGACGGTATACAACTGAATTAAATAATTAAGCCCGTAATTATACGGAATACTCGAGTATCATAATAGGAAATCATATCCTATCCTATCCTATCCTAACATGAGCGCAAATACTCGTACTAGTACTAAAGAATATTAAGCTGGAATTGAAGTTTTAAGTTAAGAGATGTTGAGATGTTGAGAGATGTTGAGAGATGTTAGAAATGAATGAATGAATGAACTATGATATGAATCTGGAGAATACTCGTACTCGTAGAATCTTGTGTATAAGTACGAGTACTCGAGTATATAAGTATATAAGTATAAGTACTCGAGTATAAGAGGAATTAAACAAGTACTTTGCTGCTTACTCTACTTGAGTAGGTAGGTGCATATAGATTAATATTAATCAGAATATCACTCAGTTGACTATTTGCTTATGGATTTGAATCTACTCTACTCGAGTACAAGAGGTGAAGAGGTGGGTATTATATTATATTCTATCCTGATCAATCAAAGGACTATAGAATAATATCAGAACATAATTCATCTCATCAGTGCTTCCCCTGCCCCTTCCTCTCCCCCTTCATCCATATCCATATCACTATCCTCAATAACAGTAACGAGTCTTGGTTTTACAACTGGATCAGATATCTTCTTCTTCTTCCGCTTTTGTGATTTATTACTCGCGACACTAACCATAGATAAAGTATCAGAGTCGTCGGAATCGAGATAATATTTGAACCCAGTACCATTGCCATTCCCATTCACCTCTTTGAGATTTCCAGGTTCGAATTCGCCCATGTTGATACAGTCGTCTTCCTCTTCCTCTTCATTCTCATCACTCTCATCATCTTCATCTTCAGATTCGACAGCTGTCTGAGATGCCGCTATACCCTTACCCTTAGTCTTTTTCACCCGTTTAGGTTTCAATAATTTCTCAACCAACTTTGGACCTCTCGTTCTCAGTGATAACTCCTTCACCATATCATTCCATCGAATTTCCCTTTTACAACCCGGACATGTTCCTTTGATGGGAACCAGTGGTTGGAGATTCTTTTTCTTTTTCTTATCGCTTTGAAGAATGTGTTGGCTTAGACATATCATATGTGTGATGACCTCGCAATCCGAGTGCGGACAGATGGTATAGAGGCCTGAATTGTGCTGAAGTTGTAGGTTGCAAATGGTGCAGGATTCTTCTATGTTAGAATTGAATATTCTTTTCCCTTTTTCCAAGTGAGGTTTGGTGTCCTGATATGCAAACTTTAAGGCTTCGATCCCATGATGTCCACCTGTACTCTCACCACCCTCATCATCCTCAGCCTTTACTTCCCCTGGAGGAAAATCTGTAATGATAGGTAAAGAATCCCTCAGTGGTTCACTTCTTACCCCTTTCATCCATTTGATCCAAGCTTCATGAACATCCGGAGCAAAAAATCTTACTTCTAATGGCCATCGTGAAAATGATGGAACACTAAGTAGGAGATGTAAGTTTGATAAAAGTGATTGAATAGTATGTCGAGGTCGTTTTGAATGACCGGATCGTTTCTTTTGAGTGGCATGTGTAATTCGTGATGATGGTGGGATATGAAGGGTTATATGTGAATTTTGCCATGCCCATCTAATAGAGGTTAGAGGTTAGTTCGATGGGGTTTAGTTGACTGGGGGTATCATTTTATCGGTATGTAGTATTAGGTGTTGATGGAATGAAGGAGGGGAATTGTGTGATTGAGCTGTAGCTGGGCATAAAACAATAAAGAATATCGAATGATATATCATGAACCTCAAAAAGATATATAAACTTACTCAAATTGCAACGCGGCAATTGAACTCGGAAAACCGGTAACAATACAAGCCATTTCCCATGGCCTTAAAATACTTTTGTTGGTTCTCACAGCACCACCTTTTGCCAATCCATTATGTTGCCGAAGTCGTCTGACTAAATATTCATGGGTTAGTTGGTTAGAAATGTAGAGAGTTTGCTCACTCGGTAAGGTTACATATTGGATTTGGATGGAAGGGATGTAATGGGATGGGATGAGATTGTGTTTGAATAGGGTTGGGTTGGGTTGGATGGATGTATGGGATGGGATTGGATGGGATGGGATGGGGATAGGATGGGGATAGGATGAGATGGGATTGGATGGGATGAAATGGGTTTGAATGACCCGATTGAGGAAACTTACCTGGATTTGGGGTGGATCCAATATATAAACCGGTATGTTTGATGGTTGATCGGAGAAGGTAACAACAGTAAAAGGAAGGAATTGGACGGTCGATAGGCATTTGTTGGTGGTGTTGTTGATGTTGTTGATGTAGTCGATGGAGTTGATGTTGTTGATGAAGATGAAGATGAAGATGAAGATGAAGATGAAGATGAATATAAGGATGAAAATAGAATTCTTAGTACCGGTATTGTGTTTTATCTAGATATCCTCGATAACGTACATCTCCTCATTCAATAAAAATCAAGCCACCACCGAGTCAGCCTCAAACCCTTAGATCATTTTTTGAAAGCGCCAAAACCGCAAACTGGGGAAACATAGGACCCCTTCCTAATTGAGGTAATTATTGATTATATATTCTTCTCTCTCATGCTCTCATACTGCTTACTTTGACTCTCATATTATACTAATTAAATTAAGTACCGTCTATATATAAAAGACTCGGAATCTGGTAATATATAATAATAATTACTCCTAGTTCTCATTTTTGAGTTTGATCAGATCAGATCAGGTCATAAACAAGCCACTGGATCGATCCACTTATCCATGCACAAATCTTACACATTTATCAACGTCAAATCATTTTAATTGGTTAATGTAACGACATGTTGCCTGAGGTTGATAGTATGGCCCCATGCAATATAAATCGCATTAATCAATCGAATTTTAGATTGAGACATAGGAATGAATGAACGAGAGGAGTAAGAGGAAAGGATCAAATTGATATATAATTAATTATAACAAGGGATATATACTTCTTTCACCCTTTATATAAGATTACAATTCATGTAATATATATACCTAGTATATATCTAGTAGATAGACACTATTATCAATTAATCATTTACTCACAAATGCGAGTAAATGTATAAAAAATATAGACGGAAACGGAAGGAGTTCCTATATAATATATAATATGACTTCTTGGTATCTCCACATAGAAGGCCGGCTTTCTTAATCGGATATCTCTCGTAATCTGAACCCTCTCTCTCTCTCTCTCTCTCTTCTCTTTTCTATCCGCCCTCCACCATTTACACATCCACCCTTCAACCCCTTCACCCTCCACAATCCAATACAAATCCATAATAATCCATCCTTCCTTACTACACCACCACCACCAACCACACCACCACACTTACAAGTACATACAACCAACCTCACTCATATACATTCACCCACCTTTTATACTTCTACTACTGTATTGTACTACGAATCAATCTACTCCTTCACCACCTTTACAAAAATAAACAATTCAACTTTACACAACTGTAACGAGGACATCCAAGAAGTAATAGATATAATTACTTTTTTATTGAGGCGAAATACATACTTTACACTTTACCCTAGTACTAAACTTGATATGGGCTTTAGTTTGATATCGGCACTGCGGATCACATCTTCTCTTCTACCATTCCCTTTTTTTCCATCTGTCTTGCATGTACCTACCCAACCATTCATTGCGAGGGCAAATCTACGAATACCTTACATAATTTTACCATTTCACACTTCGATGTCGATAATTTAACTTATTCCTCTTCAATTCGACATCAATATCTACTCTACCCCTTTGGTGGATTAAAGTCGCCATCATGGTTCAGGTACCCATGAATACAACGGCTTCGAGCTCGACCATGCGAGCCTCACCCTCAAACAGCACCAGCACTCCCAACGGTAACTCCACTTCTAATCGAGGAAAATCAAATGGAAATGGGAATGGAAGTGGAAGTGGGAATGGGAATGGGAATGCTTCCAATCCAGCCGCAGCTCCTACGGCTTTGAGTGCGATGGTATCTCCACCTTTGGATTTAACCAGTGTCGAGAGGAGGGGACAACCAACGGCGAGCCGAGAGACCACGAAAAAGATGCGTCCCCATGGTTTACAAGAAGCCCCAACATATAGACCAACGACAGAGGAATTCAAGGATCCAAGTGCGTATATTAAGAAGATTACGCCAGAAGCTTCACAATTTGGTATCTGCAAGATTATCCCTCCGCAGGGCTGGACACCAGAGTTTGCGATTGACACCGAGGTATGTTCACCACCACTTATTTTTTTCTATTCTTTCGCGACACCACAATTACTCTGCGGGACTGGGGACTACATGATTTCAATCACGGCATGATATAATCGCAGATTTGTTCTAACAATTCAAAGCACTTCCACTTCCGCACGCGCAAACAAGAATTAAATTCGGTCGAAGGCAGTAAGTTCAACCGCAAACCCCCCCATCCATGACTCAACCCTACTTACTCCGCCATCTCAACATTGCTAACAACTCCAAGGTACACGGGCGAATCTTACATATCTTGATCAACTTGCGAAATTCCATAAACAACATGGAACGAACCTCAATCGATTTCCTAGCGTCGATAAACGACCTCTCGACTTGTACAAACTTAAGAAGGCGGTTGATACTAGAGGGGGATTCGAGAAGGTGTGCAAGCTGAAAAAATGGGCGGAGATCGGCAGAGATTTAGGATACAGTGGGAAGATTATGTCTTCATTATCGACGTCATTGAAGAATTCATACCAAAGATGGTTGCACCCATATGAAGAATATCTACGATTGGCCAAACCGGGAGTACATCAACAACTAGAGTTTGAATATGGAGGACCACTTACACCATCTCCTGCGAATTCACCGATGAAGAGATCAGTACAACATACGCCATCAAGCTTAAGAGGTGAATCTCCAGCGATGCGCGCATCTGATGCTTTGAACACTAGTGTAATGAAGGAAGAATTCGAAAAGGGCATGAAGAATATCCCGATGTTAGATACTCCTGTCGTACCAAGACCACAAGCTACATCTGGTTTTACTCCGGTAAATGTTGGGGGTTTTACAGCCGTCAACTCGGCGCCCGCAAGTTTTACACCTGTCAATAACAATCGTCGTGAACGAGAGGCAAGTGCTAGTTTTACACCAACAGCACGGAGACCACCATTCGATAGTCCGATTTCATCGATTTCATCGGCCAAAAATACACCAGAGTACAGACCTTCTGCTCTCAGTTCGGCTCCGGTATTAAATGGTTTTACGTCTAATCCACTATCCAAGAGGCAGTTAAGTCATGAAAGTTTAAGTTCGGGAAAAGGAAGTCAACCACCAGAAGATGCCGAAAATGGTGGAAGACGTAGCAAGCGACTTAAGAAAGGTACGATTGCCATTTTCATATTCATCATGCATTGAAACACATGCGCCATTGTAATGTATCATTGGTGGTCAAGAACCCCCCGGCTAATGTACCCCTGCAGATGCTGTACCAACTGTGGCTGGATCACATATGACCCAGTTTCGACCAACACCACCCAGAAATCCAGGAGAACGTGGATCGTCCACACCTGGGGAGGTTAGTGACGATTCTTCTCTCTCTTCTCTCTCTTCTGCCATCGATACAGACATATACTTAAACCTTAACCAGAAATGCGAGACTTGTGGAAAGGGTGATGATGCTGACAAAATCCTGATTTGCGAATCATGCGATTACGGTCATCATATGCAATGTCTTGATCCCCCTGTTACTCACAAACCCGATTTTGACTGGCATTGTCCTCGATGCTTGGTTGGAGATGGCCGTTTCGGATTCGAAGAAGGCGGAATCTACTCTCTCCGGCAATTTCAACAAAAGGCGGCAGACTTCAAGGAAGGATACTTTCAAAATAAGATGCCGTTCGACCCTGTCCTCAATTGCCCTCGACCAGTTACGGAAGATGATATCGAAAGGGAATTTTGGCGCTTGGTCGCTAGTCTCGAAGAGACTGTCGAGGTTGAATACGGCGCCGACATTCATTCCACCACACATGGAAGTGGGTTCCCAACTATTGAGAGACAACCACAAAATCCTTATTCTACCGACCCCTGGAATCTGACCATCCTGCCCCTTCATGGAGAATCTCTATTCCGACACATCAAATCGGATATTTCCGGTATGACAGTACCTTGGCTTTATGTTGGCATGATCTTTTCGACTTTCTGTTGGCACAATGAAGATCACTACGCTTATTCCGCAAACTATCAGCATTTTGGATCCACAAAGACTTGGTACGGAATTCCAGGAGAAGATGCCGAGAAATTCGAAGACGCCATGCGTGAAGCTGTACCCGAATTATTTGAAACACAACCTGATTTATTATTTCAGTTGGTGACACTACTAACTCCAGACCAATTGAAGAAAGCAGGTGTGAATGTCTATGCCTTGGATCAAAGAGCTGGTCAATTCGTCATCACGTTTCCTCAAGCGTATCATGCCGGATTCAACCATGGATTTAATTTCAACGAGGCCGTCAATTTCGCCCCTACCGACTGGGAACCATTTGGAGAGTCTGGAGTGGGACGACTTCAACAATTTAGACGACAGCCATGCTTTTCCCACGATGAACTCTTGTGGACTGCGGCTGAAGGTGCGGCAACTGGTGGTGTGACTATCCAAACCGCTAAATGGTTAGCCCCTGCTCTTGAGCGACTTCGCGATCGCGAGGTTTCACAGAGAAAAGAATTCATTGATCAACACAAGGAAGATGGTCACACTTGTGTGGTTACTGATGTCATTGAGGGTGCTGGTCCGAGATGTCACATTGGGTTCCAGATCGATGAAGAAGATGTTCCGGAAGAAGAATACCAATGCACTCACTGCAAAGTTTATGCATATATCTCGAGGTTCAAGTGTACCAAAAGTGGCAAAGTCATGTGCCTCCTTCACGCAGGCACTTACGAATGCTGCGATATTCCCGAGTCGGAAAGATTTGCGGGTACTGACCACATTCTACACTATCGTCGTACAGAAGAAGCCATTTCAGCCATGCACCAAAAAGTCGCTGATAAAGCAGGTCTACCTGAGATCTGGGAGGAAAAGGTGGAGAAGTTTCTCGAAGAAGATGCAACTCCATCACTCAAAACTTTGCGTACCCTCTTGAATGAAGGAGAGCGCATCCCGTATGATTTACCATCCCTCCCTTCACTCAAGAAATTTGTTGATCGATGTAACGAATGGGTGGAAGAAGCGACAAATTACACCGTTCGGAAACAGCAGAACCGACGAAAGAACGAAAAGGCCTGGCGTAAAGGAAGCCGAGCTGCGGAGATGGAGGAGAGAGATCGTGAATTACGGAAATTCGAGAATATTATCAAGTTGTTGAAGGATGCCGATAAAATTGGGTTCCATTGTCCTGAGATTGACCAACTACGAGAGCGAGCCGATGCCATCACGAAGTTCCAAACCGATGCTCGAGCGGCTTTGGCCCAACCTAGTTCACGACGTACCAATGAGTTTGAAGAACTCCTTGAGATTGGACGTGGGTTCAATGTCGACATGCCTGAGATTGATAAGATTCAGAAGGAAGTTCAGCAAATGAAGTGGAACGATCGAGCCCGTGATAATCGTGGCGTCTTTCTCTCTCTGAAGGAAGTAGGCGACATTATCGACGAAGCGACCAAACTTGGGGTACCTGATTACAACGTATACTTGATCCATTACAATGAACAGAAGATCGCCGGGGTGAATTGGGAAGTGAAAGCCAAAGAGGTCATCGGTGCCGAGACTGTTCACTATCCACAATTGGAGGCCTTATGCCAACAAGCTCAAACTGCTTCACTGCCTGTATCGCCAGAAACATTGGCTCAGGTTGAACAAATCTTGAACAAGCATCGAGAAGTTCACAAACAAATCGTCTCATTATACGATCGATGTAGGGATCCCGACTTCATGAAACGTCCAGCTTACGCAGAGGTCGCCGTACTTCAAAAGGAACTTCAAGGTTTGGGTAGCAAACCAAGTGGCACTCTTGACTTGGAAAAGGAGATCAAACGGCATGAGGATTGGATGCGAAAAGGAAAAAAGTTATTCGGCAAGGCAAACGCTCCATTGCATATTCTTAAACAACACATGGAATATGTCATGGAACGAAATGTCGATTGTTTCGATATCAGTTCAGATAAACCTCGACTTCCAGCCGAACCACTATCCCGCGAACCTTCTCCTTCGAACGATAAACTTCATAGTTGGGAGGATCCTAGATTCCGAGAGGTCTTTTGTATCTGTCGGAGGATTGAAGCTGGTATGATGATTGAGTGTGAGCTTTGTCATGAATGGTATGTTTTCAGCTTCCAACTTTCTCTGAGCGATTAACTAATGGATAACAGGTATCATGGTAAATGTTTAAAGATTGCGCGTGGTAAACTCAAGGATGATGACAAGTACACTTGTCCAATTTGTGATTGGCGTGTACGCATTCCTCGTGATGCAGCTAGACCAAAGCTTGAGGATTTACAAGCATGGCAAGATGAGGTTCCGTCTTTGCCATTTCAACCCGACGAAGAAGCCATTCTCGAAAACATTGTCAACAATGCTCAAGAATTCCGAACTCACATTGCACCATTTTGCAATCCAGTCATGGCAACAGCAGACGAATCCGAAACTCAACGCTTCTACCTACGAAAGATTGAAGGTTCAGAAATCCTTCTCGCGTATGAAACCAATTTCTTCAGACAAGAACTTCATAAATGGTCACCAGTTGCACCGGAACCTCCACCGGTTCTTGAATCTTCATTGTCAACACGAAAACCTAGACCAACCAAACTTCAAAAATTAATGGCACAACATGGAGTTGATGTTCCCGAGGCTCTACCACAAAATCTGAGAACCAAACCTCATAACTTCAAGCGAAAGAGTAGTGAACCTAGTGGAAATCGACCAATGCATTTACAACCTGCTCCAGGAAGGTCACAACCTGGAACGCCTACGGCTCACAGTTTCGCCACTAGTTCTGGTCCAAGCATGGGTCTTCATGGACCAATCTTGAGTGGCATTTCAAATGTTCATGATCATGCACATCCGTACGCAAGCTACGCGCAAGATCCATATACTAGTATGGCGGCGTCAACAAACCCATCTCCAGCTTTTGCACCGCATGCTTATCTGCATGGTAGTGCGGTCGGTACCCCTACATTCGGCCATGCGTCCCCTCATCGACCAAATATCTTCAATGAGGCGGGATTATCAAGAATGGATCCTTCTGTATCACTCAACAGTCCGTTGAGAGATAACTTTTCATTGGGTGTTAGTAGCTCAGGTCAAACTTCCTTGGGTGCCACTGCTGGTGAAGACACAATTATGGGAGATAACATGTTTGGAGAACTTACAAATGTTGATGAAGAACCTACTGGAAACAAAGAGCTTTCATCGATTGATAGGAAACCGATTGATGATAAGGTCACGACCGAAGCCACGAGATGGGATGAGGGAGGTGATAATATGGAGTTATTCTTTGATGGACCTTGATTAATGTGACATGGTTGGACATTGCGGTATTTGATGAAATTCGGGCATGGCGCATCATATAAAAAGTTACAAAGAAGTCACGAATGGCGAAAGAGAACATAAAGATGGCATAAGGAGTTGGCCGGTAGCATATAAGGGGTTTCATTTTCCACAAGTGATTACTCATTTTATGGATGAGAGGCGTTTTTCGGGGACTTCAACTTAATGGCTGAGCATCCAGATGATGCTTTGTACTGCTGTCGGGTCGGGATACGGATTTCCATTTCTGAAACGGTGTATCATTTTGCGATCAATTTTCTGACTCGAATTTTGCATGGATTGATATGATGGATCGGGATCGGAATGGCTTCGGTAGGGTATGGATTGCGTGTGGGCTTTTGGTTGGGTTGGAGTTTGGGTTTTACAATAAGAGGAAGAGAAAGAGAGAGATTAGAGGTGTAAGGAGTAAGGAGTGAGGAGTGAAGTGGAGTAAAATGGAGTGACTGCAGGCATACATGTAGGAATTTATATTTACAGTTCAATGGGTTGGGTTCCTGATGGGATGGGGGGTTGCTGGCTTTGCTTTGCTTTGCTTTGATTTTTCTTGTGGTGGGTTGGTGTTGTATGGATGGGGAAAAGGAAACAGGAAAAGGAGAAAGGGAATTACTTGGGGAGAGCGAGGATTTGATTTGTCTGTTCATGGCGATAGGCTGGGTGGGGTGTATAATGATAGCAATGATAGTAAAGGATGGTTGGTGGTAGATGTGGTAGATGTGGTAGATGTGGTGTATTGGTGTGCAGTTGGTATGAGATGAGTTGCGGTATGTGGTATGTGGTATGTGGTATGAGAATAGCTGGATTAGTTAAATGATATGAATATGATATGAATATGATATAATATAACATGATATGATACGATACAATATCCAGGGCAATAGTACTCGAGTAGAGTGAGTACATGGTTTATTTGATGGATTGATCTGATTGATTAATATATAGCATAAATATAGTTAAACTAGTAAGTACAGTAAGTATATAATGTCAGTCAGTCATTCAATGATATGATGTGATGCGGTGTGATACGATGCGGTGTATATGTACTCAGTAATGCAATATAACTTCTATAGCAATATATTGGCGGATTATAGATAGATGGGTAGGTAGATAGGTAGATAGGTAGGTAGGTAGGTAGGTAAGTAGGTAAGTGCTCATGATAATAAATCAATATGAGTAGATAGGTAGTAGTAATGATAATAATGGTAATGTAAGTAAGTGTAAGTGTAAGTGTAAGTATAAGTAAGTAAATTGAGTTAATAATGTGAATACTTGGATCTGTGGGCTTGGTACTAGTATGGTTTTTTTGGTTATTGTTGTTATTGTTGTTATTGTTATTGTTATTAGTATATGATGTGATGATGTAATAGATATAAAGTTATAAAAATATATATTATAGATTACTAGAAATTTTGAACAATAGTAAGATTTACATCTATCGATTTCTCGAATGCGAATGAATATATATATTATAAATACCAGTACGAAATATTAGCGGAATATTTTTTTCACTTGAGCAGACAATAACAATCTGTAACTTGAATATTATAGTAAGATTACAAATTCATATCTCTATTGTATTATATAAAACTTGAAGGAAGTGAATCATTACGATATACATATCAATCAATACTACGAGCTTCCGAGTCAAACTAAATGTATATATTCACTACATCGTATTTCGTATTTAGCGCCATGCGCACAGGCAAGAATAATAAATAGTATACCTTCAAGTTGCCTCACCAAACATCGTTAGGCTAATCACTGGCAATCAAAGATTCTCATGAACGTACTTGAAGATGAATAAACTGAACTGAACTGGGGGCTACCAACTGGCAACCAGCATGGCAGTACCAACTTGAAGAAGACCATGAGTATGAGTGAAGACATGGGATCTTTACTAGTATTAGTAAGATTAGATTACTTTGTTGGAAATATTTACTGGTATGGGTATGTCGAAGGATGTATGCGCTGTTATTAAGAGTTAAGAGTCAATATCTGTTGTCGTTATTGATAGAATGGATATGGAAAATCCTATGCGAATTTGATAATTATTATGATTTGTGACTGATAGCAAGTAGATCAGATAGTTCGTTGTTGTTTATTCATGGTGTTTAGTCAAGTTGAGTGGGTTGAGTAATCTTATAAGGCCAAGGTAATTAATATATACAGTAATGAAGAGATAACGCGACTCCCACGCAGTGTGCCTAGGGGCTCTAATTGTACGAATGGTACTTGTCTTTGATTATCCAAAGCACTGCCCGAGGCATTCTCCTTTGATTATACAACATATGAAAAATTTACCAGGCCGCGGTCAAGACCGGAATCGTCTTTTGTAAACATTTTGCATAGTATATAGAACATAAGATCTTACTAGCCATATCGATTCATCAACAAATACCTAAATCCACCTGAACTCAAAGTAACTCAAAGAAGGCACTTGCTTCCATTCCAAACTGTACAAACTGAAAAGAGGCGAGCACTCCTGGCATGCTCCTGTCCTTCCTCCTCCAAGAGAAGCTAAACAGGGACGTGACCTCCTCTAGTGGTAGTGGTGGAAATGTCGAGAGCTCGATGTATTGATACAGTGGGTATCTTCTTCCAGTTAGACAATAAAAGTAACGATCTGGTGTTTATTTTTTGGCACTCCAACCTTTTCATTGTCGTTGTTGTACTGATAATGATACGAACGTTCAGACGAAACTTGGTATCGTTCGGAATTATTCCCAATTCTGAGGATGAGACGATGAGACGAGGCTGGTGGATTAAGGATAGAAAAGTAAACGGATGACAGAAGCCAAAGATGGAGTTTTCTTGTACAAATAAGCTGAACTCAACCCTTTGGCTTAGCTGAGATAGGATTACTTTTGGTGGAAAGAACAATTGGAGACAGCGACTATTGATCGTCGGGAAGGGACAGGATGGGATACTGCCCCAAACTCTCACCATCAAGTGAATATAGAATTGGACTCCAATTTATAACTTCATCACTCAGTCTTTTATAGTCGTCATGCTGGATTCAATAGACCGTCACTCCAATTAGAGTAGCTGGTATACATTTAAATCAAGGACAACTAACAATCACATATACTCGAGTATGATTGAAATAAAAAAGACTTATTGCCTATTCTAGGCTTTGAAGACATCATTAGTGTGATCTCCTGCTGCGGCTTAAATCATGGCGTTAGGGTCTCCAAACCTTTTTTTAGTTCTTAATCTGCAGGCGTGCTTCGTGGATTGAGCCGTCGCTTAATGGTGTTGCAAGATATTGATGTAAAAAATCCTTCCTTCAATGGCGGCATCATCAAGATTAGGTGTACTCAATACAGACCCATACAGCGCAGTGTCATTACCTCTACAATTCGAGGCTCTAAAACTAAGTAGAGAGGTGCCGGGGACGACGCAAGCTTTTCTCAATCTGGCTGACGGACACGAGAGTTATTAGAAAACTCCAAATGCTTTTTGCAACAGCTAAACGACCGTTCACATCTCTTGGGTAGCTCCAAGCTGGCAGGTATTACCTAGAAAGAGTCAAATTTGAAGGTCACATAATTAAAGTGATGCGACGATAACTTGTAATCGTGTGTGTGTGAAATGATAGCAGACGTGGAAACCATTTCATACTGACCAAGCATGAAATGTCTTGCTTAGATTCATGTTACCGCCGGTGTTGGAATCAACGAGATCTGGGTAAAATCCTATGTCCTCAAATAAACACAAATGTCTCCACAATGAAAACCACGAGTCAACATGTAAATTCTAGATATGCAACAAATCTCTGTGAAGTTTCATATATATTGAAGCCCCCACCAAGACCTAAAGTGCGAGTCAACACTGAAAATGAAGGTGTGCAACAAAGGTTCAAAATACATTGAGGTCTCCACCACAAATTGATGCGAGTCAACATTCAGAATTTACGACGTGCAACCAATATCTCTCCAGCCGATGGAAGTATGAAAAGAGATTATCTCCACCATGGAAGGAAGGTACGAGTCAATGTTCAGATATGCAACAAAGACTTCTTTGATACTGTGGATGAATTTTGAACCTGGATAACCTCCACAATGTTTCCACAATATAGAAATACGACTCGGAAGGAATTGACACAAGGGATATATCCCCAGGCATATAAGATTCAATATCAGTACGATTCAGTGATCAGATATGCAACAAATTGAATTGGTGACCGGCTAGATCAATCCAAAGTCATTTGTGATACCAAATATTAATTCTGAGGAAGAACTTCGTCTTGGTAGATTGAATGTGGATTGAAAAATCATACGACATCTTGTGATCTTGAGTCAGTTATGAATCATGATTTCGGCGGTCTCCGCCATGGCAAACGCCATGGCATTTTACATCAGGATGTCAACGCCGACTTAACGGGTATGACCCGCACTTTGACAGGCATGACAAAAAGACAAGATGTGCAACAATAATGCACAAATCTGAGTGAGAAGTTGTCTTTCTTATTGAATTTTTTTGGCGAAGAGGAAGTTCAGAGTGATAGATGTGCAGTAAATTCTGTATAGAATGAATTGATCTTGTCACGGTTGTATGCATATTTGTGCTCCTCCCATTCCGCAAGAAGAAGTAAGAGGGGATGTGCTTAATGCAGCAGAGTGAGCGAGACTAATCACTATGTTTCTTCTTCGGGGTGTTATGAGTGACATCAGTGGGTGTCAGTGGGTGAGACTGATTAGCCTTACCACCACTACCGTCGCCGAGCTGTTTCTCCATTCGATATGCAAATAAGGCTGAAATTCGGGATCTTCGGTTTATAGCTCAATGTGCTGGTCAAATCGAAGAAATCAAAACTGCGGATATTGTGAGTGGAGCACTAGCTGACTCAGGTCATTTTCTCGCTATTGGTTCATTACCCAAGCGTACCAGACGGAGCAAATTGAGTGTTTATTATGAAAAAGGGGGACAACTTATCATAGAAATCCGATCAATACCTTTTCTTTTCCGTCTTTCGTGTTTCGAAAGTGTATGCATGAGCTGTAAGGTTAAGGGTTCATGCTGCAAGGCTGGCATTGCTGGGTTCTAGATGCAAGGCTGATATTGCTGGTAAGATGTGCATACACTGTTGCACCTCTCAATGATCCCAACCAAAACGTCACTATCTCATTCATAACATGAACCAGAAAGCCGGATGTAAGAGTCCATGCATCATCCTTGACTCATGAGCCTCTGTGAAATGGTCGAATTTTCGAGCTGATGAGGTAAATGACTCGTGTATGTCTTCAATAATTGTTGATCGTCAAGGTTCTGGCTCTTTGATACCCTGGGTTGTATACCGGTGCCGATATAGTATGTTTGTGAAGAAAACCCCGTTGATTCGGTTGTGATACGAGTTTCATTCTTGATCCATTACTTTCCCAGATTGATGAGAAGGACCGGTACTCAATTAGCTGAAAATTGAAATTGAATGTCACGTGAATTGACGCAGAACAGGATATTTCCCACCTTAGTCATCCGAGTTAGTTATGCGCGCCATTGTTTTACCCCCCTCAGCTCAGCACGTTTCATTTAACATGACATTCAACATAACCACTACATCTAGGAGTACCGGTATTGAGATAAATGTTGCACATCTCAATTCTCAACATTTCAGCTTGGGGTCCATGTAACACACCCAAGCAACACTTTGACCGAGCAAGGAAAAATGGGTGCCAGATGCATGATTCAAGTCAAGTTCACGGAACCCAAGCCGTGAACAAGTTTTGTTTGGAATGAAAATAAAGACCGACGATAGTATTGCACGTCTCAAATCTCAACGAAACGCCTTGCTGTTCAACTGCAAAATGACTGTTCAACTGAGGGTGAGGCTCAATTGAAGTTTGTTGAGATTTCGAACTTCGAAGAAACATACAAAGATGGCAATTGTTAATGTCTACGATTATTTAATTTTAACTAATTTTAGTTTCTGGACTGCTCTGCTACCGTCACTGAACCCTTCAAAATGCCCAACCGTCTAGCCATAGTATATACTACTCATACTGCGAGAAAGTCCGCAACTCGGGTAAGCTAGCACATGCCATATGATGGTAAACTACAGCAGGAATAGCCTAGTTTTTGACTTCCCGAGTTGCGGACTTTCTGGCGGCATGAGTACATGCTGTAACGATAAATATCAGAATGTTGCATATCTCAACAGCTGGGCATTTTCCAGATCTGCACTCGGCAACAATTAAGATATCTCATCACCAACACCAACCAACCACGTACATGCACGAACCTTCGGAACCGGTCAAGACAAGGTAGATCCATATGGCTTGATCTGTACTCCCATTCAAGCTACGATCATTACCTTCTCGTCAATTTTTGGTCACGGGAAATATGTTTTGTTGCATATCGACTTGTTCGCCAAGGGACAGTTTAAGGGTCAATTCAAGGGGTACCGGTAATTCAAGGGGGATTCATGGGAATGAACTAAAGGTTACTAATACGTCATTTTTACCTCAATAAACACGATTTAGATTCGGATTCTCGGAAATCATAACTTAGATTTCGTTGAGATGGGATTTAATCACATGTTAATGATTCTTCAAGCTGCCATTCCACCTTCCCAACCGCTCGGAGGACCCGTCTCACTCAATTGGGAACCGGCGGAGATAATATCCAAATTATGGATATTTTCCACCTATCATTTCCGAGTCCTCTCACCCACCATGAGATGCAAAACTCCCGGGATTTCAAGATCTAATGATTTTATTCCGGAAGTTCTGTTTTGGATACATTCGTCTGCTTTCTACGATTGCTACAGTTCTTCATACAGGAGAAGGAATATCTCGAGACTATACATTGGCTTTTACACTACTTCGACCGTGACCGTTTCTTCTGTTCCTCTCCACAAATCGGAATTCATGAACCACTACCAGTTTCGTTTTGAATCCTAATTACATATATTTGTTGCACATCTCAATTTCAATGGAAGTAACGGAATTTTCCATTCATCTTCTTGTCCTTTTCTTCTCCTGTGCAAATGGTTACTGTAGAACATTTTTGAGGTTCGAGGTTGTGCTGTCAGCCATGCCACATCACCACATCACCACATCACCACATCACACATTATAGTCCGTGTACTACGTTAACACGTCGACGATCATGTGTGTGCATGACCCAAAGGAATGGTACTCCTGACAAGAACATTGATTTGTTGCACATCGCAGTGTTACCCAAGAATATCAATTTTGCTGATCATGATTGATAGATGGGTGTCGGTGCAGATCAAGTTGTCGTCGTCACGAGATACTCTCAATCTTATAAGTCACGATTTGGAGTACACAATAGGTTAGAATTATCATGGAAATTCGTTCACAATGGTAAACTACACTCAACAAATATACAAATTAATGATCAAACTTCAAAGCTGTCATGAATATCGGTACCTGCGCTGGCCCTCGTGGGTTCATCACGTCAGATAGATTTTCCCAAAGTCTTACGCCAAGGATATCATCACGGTCGATTCTCAGACTAATCGAGCTATCCAATCAACCCCCCCTTTCCATCGAACTGGCAAGATTAAAACCCCCATCGTTAATCCTTCCAAGGGGTTTCATGGCTTTTGTTGCACATCTCATAACCCATGGCAACTTCATGATCCACTACATTATCAAGCTGATCCCTGTCGTTGAGTAAAGAGTGAGAGTTACTCTGCTTCTCTAGCCAGGTACTGGGAACGTGGACCGTAAGCATTATAATGTTATCACGAACCATGATGTGCAAGAAATGAGTCTGGGTTTTTCTTTCATTTACTCCGAAATCAACGACTCTTATTGCTGATTTTTTTGAGTGAGAAATCGCACTTGAATAACTCCGGGCCCCTTCATACATTCAAAGTCGGTATCGTACGGTTAGTTCTTCCCACACACTTTGTATAACTGCAGAAAGTTCATAGCAGTCGCAGTTGCAATCGCAAGTGCAATATTACAACCCGTCCAAACCAATTATTGGATGGCTCACTAAAAAATATATCTACATCTTAAATTTTATGCTATATTCACCAAGAGTCCCGCGTTGCTAGGGATCTCAAGGCATTTCGTACTGTGACCTAAAGGCACTACTCACAGTGAGATAGAGGCATAACAAGTCTGGATTGTAGTAAAATGAGTAGATTGGGCATCACCTGTATCATGACTACTATTGCTTATCAACTCAAGTGGCTGTGAACCCGCCTTAGAGATGGAGTTTACGTTTCACAAATAAGTCCTGGAAGTTCCTGTGACATTCTCTCCTCAAAGTATCTACCTACGAAGACCCTGCGATGATATATCGAATTCACTTTTCAAAATTGATTACCTTTGTCCAAGAATCCCAGTTATACCATACCTTGTCGAGACTGAGTATTAAGTATAATGAGAGCAAAAATGACCTTCCTAATGAAACATCCAATACCGGGATGCTATTCGCAGCGATTCACATCATCATCATCATCATCATCAAGCACGCCAAACATTACATGACCTCAGCCTTCATAAACCTCACCGCAACTTTGAATAATGGTAAACCATGGGACGTTATCTGATTTCGATCTTTAACAAGTTTGATCCTTCAATGACTGCGTTAGCGACTTAGATATACTCGAGGAGATACATCAGTACCGCAGGTCATATCATGGGATGTACTTGCTCTTCGCAATCAGCACGAGAAACTAAACTCTAGACCGACGAATATATTCTATGTATATTATGGCGTTGTTGATGATACTAAATGATAAATTCCTACAATAATTCATTGTTTATTATTTCAACCATCAATAGAGAGAGCGCCTGTACGAGTAACGGGAATATCAGTGATTATGATTTCCCCTCTTATCATATCCTATCTTATGGCCCGGGGAAGGAATAGATTCGCTAGCGTTTATGCCAGTGATTAGGAGCAGGAAGGAGTGGTATAATTTTTTCAGGATAGAAATAAAGAGGAATAGTTGAAAATGTAGTTAAGAATAGATAAGAACAATTTATTTTTATTATTAGTATTGATAAAAAGGAGTAAACGTTATCTAAAAATATTGAAAACGCTTAGATATATTATCCGATTACTTTGATATACTCGAGTAATAAGTAATAGTAATGATATTTAAATAAATATAAAAAGAATTTTGTATATATATCGTATTATATACTACTTGTTTCCTCAATCTAGAGCTATCGATTAATGATATAATTATTAAATTATTTTCAAAATTTTTGACTATGTACCCTAGTCGCCGATGTAATACAAGGATTTCCCACTAGGACTAGCGCAGTGAAATTACTTAACCTCGGAAGTTGAAGAACATGTTTATTCCTCAAAAGGTAACAACATCCTTTGGAAAATGGCACCCTTCCAAAATATTTTATACGCTATTCGTCTCACGCTTAGTTTCACATCTAAAAAAAGCATTGAGAGAATCCGGTTGCAGTACAGCAATGATATAAGTGTGGTGGGCAAAGACCAGCTGGAATTCAAAGGCCAAGAAATACTACATTTCCTTCCCCGGAAGTTGTCGCCTCTATACAAAAAAGTCCTTCTGGAAGCAAGTAAAAAATATGCGCCTTTTCCTCTCGTACCCACAACACCTCTCGAAAACCACCACACCATGAAGAATGTCTCCTTGGATGTACTTCCTTCTTCCTCATTGGAGAAAATAGACGATCACCTATCGTTTCATTTGAAGGAAGCTGTGAGTGTACAAAAGACTAAATTAGGGTGGAAACAACCTAAAGACTTTTGGCTGAGGAGATGTGGTTGGACAGATGACAAAAGCGAGTGTCATAACAAGCCATATCGTCATAAAATATGGATTGGGGGCGATTTGAAAGATGGTGAAGCCAACGCTATATTATTTAAACTCAAGCAGGATTATGAAAATGGGTTTGATAAACTGCATGTAGTCGGACTGGGTTTATGGAGAGAAAGATGGTCACACGAAAACGGCGAAAACGGCAAGACTTCCCAGAAACACGAAGAAATACTTGACAAGTTATTTCCCTTTACCGGAAAAATTTGAGGAACGGCGCTCAAGAGAGTAGAGTGTTCATTGGGTACCGATGTCTCAACTTATCTATCCTATAATACTCACGTTATTATTCTGCATTCATGAGAAGTTGTTGTAGCTACTCGAGTACTACACGCTGACTTCTGCAGTCGTTTGTCATCCGGTGTTGGCATTGATCTGGGGTTTCAGCAACAGACCTACGGTCTCTGAAGAAGCCAGCAGCAGTAGCATACATCACAAAATCAGGAGAATGGATTTTCTTCCACAACCGGGGACTATCACTACCCAAAAGTCGCATTCCACTTTTTATTTGGGTTTCCCTGCTTTACCAAAAGGGCAGAATCAAACGGTAACATACCCGATGAGATACTACTGCGATTATCAATGTTACGGAGAAAAATGGGTTATAAGTCTGTTTTGTTTGCTTCATGATGTGGTTGTGGTTAAAATGTCTGTACCCCTTTCTCGTTCTCCATTGCAACATTCAAATACGTGAAGCTTGGCCTCCTAACACGATCCATTATTTTCCAGTATCTTGGGAATCGATCTGGTCTTTAAGTGCTTGATTGAACTAGAAGACTGATAGCTGAGGAACATACAGTGGATGTAAGCTGCCAGAACATACTTAAACTCCTCCAGAAGCCAGGGTTCACTCCAGTAGCTCCAATATTCACTCTCATAATGCTATAATTCCCTCTATAGCCCCTCGTTTGACTTAACTCTACAATTATACCACGCTCTCTCTCTCTTTTTTTTAATCCCCTTTCATCTATATAAACGCCTGCTCGACATGCCACATAATTTATTCTCTAACGAAAAATGCGTGTCACAGCGAAAGCATACATGTGGCAGTCTATCTTCGCCCTTCCCCTTCTATTCTACTTAGTACTATCCTATATTCATATTAAAATCTAGTCTACTTGATATTTGTATAAAAGCTTTATAACTTAGTGTACAGTGATATTAAGCATCGGAATAATAAAGTACGGTATTATTCTTTGCCCATTCGAAAACACTCGCGTGTATTATCGCAAGGACTAATAAGGAATATATATTTTATCACACAAGTCAATAGCTTGGGTCTTGTTGTTATATCATTACAAAATATTAGACAGAATAACATCAACCAGAGACAATACTCAACGAAGTGAATGTTAAGCGAAAACAAAAAACGGCTCATACTCTGTAAAAGAAGTTGATCCTCTACAGATGATATACTATTTACCATAATCTGATTGGAAAACTTCCAGTCAACAGTCAACAGGAGTTTGATTGGAACACTCCCAGTAACAAGCGTAGAAAATCCCAGGAAACGGGAAACAAACCCAGCCTAAGAACTCATATTTACCAAGAAACAAGAAAGTACTCCCAGATAATAGTTAAGCTCTCTCATAAACATCAGCTTCGTCTCTTAACCTTAGAGCTTAGAGCTTAGAGCCTTCCAATATCGAGTCCAAAACAACACTTACTGTAGTCTATATATATATTAACCTCTCATCTCCGCTTCAAAACAATCATATTATTGAGAAATTTTTAAATAAACTCGAAAGAGTTGGGGCTGGCAAAGGTCTTCTTTGTATCGGGTACATGAATCATAATAACTTTGAAGTGTTCTGTGCAACTATCCAAGGACCGGTATTCTGTTCAAAATCGTCCTGATCGAATGAGCTACTCGTAAATATATATTCTTTTCTGATAATAATTATTTAGTTATTGTCGATTATAATGGAATGGAATAGATAAGACGAGACGAGATGAGACGAGATATACAGACCGTATCAAAAAGAAAAAGAAAAAGAAAGAGACAAAAAGAATTTCTATACTCTTTTCAGATATGACAACTCAATTCCCAGCTCATGATGAACAGATAGAAGTGTTATATTTATTCCAAATTCCAAATTAAAACTTGGGGGTGCTAATATATATATTCTTTAAGTTCTAAAAAAGCTATTCTTGAATCGCTATATCCTTAATAACTTCTTATATTTCTCTCACGATACAATTTATTTGGTATTTATACACTCTGTTATGTGTTCTTTAAAATGAGCTAGCAGTCTAAAATCCACTTTTAATTCAAGAAATGATTAAAGAAGAGCAGAGCAGAGCTGGATCTGATTTATTTGCGCTATATATGTAGAGTCTTTCGAAGTATTTCAGATTACTAAACAAGACCAATCTACTCAAGTATCTATCTATAAAACACATTCCTCGTGATTTTTGAGATCACTATTTTTTTCAATAACAGGACTTCGAGTCTTGTCTTGTCTTATCTTGTCTTGTCTTATTATCCTTTGTAGTCATATAATAAAGCAATATTCAGTAATATAAGAGAAGAGTCCACAATTTGACAACCATATCACGCACGTATCGACCCTCCCTCCTAGGGAGATTTCAAAATCATATCCACCAACACATTTCCTCCAAAAAAAAAAGCCATCAGCTTGTCATGACTTAACTAACTTTAACTCTCCAAGTATGTCCGGTCCGCCATTCATATATAACTACTCGAGTACATATAACACAAACTTATCATAGCTCTCAAGTTATACTCCCAAGTGTGAAATGCTTAAGTTCTTTCAAAATATAAATATATACTCGTAGAGTCTTAGATAGACTGCCAGTCTATACCCTCCCTCCTTCCCCATCCATTACTCAAGCAAGCACCACAATTTCATAATACTCATCCGCGCCGTGTAAATGAAAAACATATGCCTGTCTGACTATACAATCCAATACCTCAACTACTAGTCGGCAGTCACTAAACTAAAGAAGTTGACTTGCCTCTGAAGGATTACCAAAAACATCATACTTTACCTCCTAATCTCTATCATTGATGTTATCAATCACCTACCTAAATCCTACACAACATCACCCTATTCCCTATTTCCTACAACTAACAGACAACACAAAATGCATGAGAAAAAGAAACAAATAAATAAACAAAGAGTAATATATAATCAACTATCCATTAAATGAGTTCTGTATGCAAATGATCTAAACTTCAATCTCCAATCTCCAATCTCCTATATACAAATAGATGGCAACAATGACCTTTCCATTTATCATTATCCCCTACCCCTTCGTCTAGTAAACATCCAAGACCGAGTGTCTAGCGAGAGCCTGTTACCAACCTTGACCAGCAGCAAACTCCCCATCAACCGCCTCCCACCCTCCAAAAACACCCTCAATCATCCTAACCCCCAATCCAGGATCCCGAGACCCGGTCGTCGCTCTAATACTATGCATACTCAATTGTGGAATGCCGACATCGATCGCTCTAACCCCCATTTTGCTCGACAACATCGGTCCTACTGTACCTCCTGATCGACTATCATTTCGAATCATGAAGGTTTGTAGTTTTTGCTCGCATTTCTCCGCCAATCTCTGAAAGATTGCTGTTGAGACGGAATCTGTTGTCGTGTGACCGTTACTATCCGCTCCGACCGTCAACCCTACATTCAATCTTGGTGCATGATCGTCGAGGTATTTTTCCAAAAAATTAGGATTTGCAGCATGTGTAACGTCGAAAGAGACGAGGAAGGATTTAGCATATGTTTCCATCAAGACATTAGGACCGTATGTAAATTGATTGAAACATTCCACAATACGTTCGACTGTTCCTGGGAGGAAATTACCATTTGCACCCTGGCGCAAAAGCGAACCAATCTCTTCATCGTCGAAGAGAGCGGCCATGGAAATGATGCCGGAAGATTTGGATTCTTCAGAGGTGGAGTTGGAGAGGAGTGCTTCGATGGTGGACCAAGAACATACTTTATCGTCGATACGACCCGAGAAGATTAAGTCTTTATCGAGACCACCGAGTTGAGCGGGCTGAGTGTCAAAGAGTTCGAGTTCCCAATTGATGATGTTCTCCTTGTTTTCAACGCCCAATTCCTTAGCAATAAGGGTGACAAGTTTTGGTGGTTGGGTGGAGATGAATGAGGACTTTGCACCCGAGATATGAGATGTTTGAAACTCGTTGGGTGAGGATGATGATGATGAACCGGAAGATTCAATATCGGAATTATCGAGGCCGATGATTGGCACAAGTTGTGTTTCCTTGTTGTTTTGACCAAACATTCCAACACCAAAATGGGGAGCTAAACTTGGGATACGTGCAATTGGCCAATCCAATTTTACCAGCTTCTGAGAAATACTTCCGGTTTTCTCATCCTTGACTAAAACTCTACCACCGATACCAAGATCTCTATCCCACCAGGTTTCATTCAAAGCACCGGCATAAGGAGCGACTCCAAGTTGTACATATCCCGCTTTATTGTTTTTCGCACTGATGGGCTTGAGACGGGCTGTGAGTGAATCAGAGTGTGCGGCAACCATTGCTATTCCATTCCCAGATGTGTAGGCGCCACCAATGGAGAATGCGATTAGAGATGTACCGTTGCGATTCACGTAGTATTTGCCATTGGGTTTGAGCTTGTCGTTCCATGATTCACGAGGAGAAAGCTATAAACCAGACATCATTAGCATCTTTCTATTTGGTGGTCCAATTTTTTTTTGGAATTGTCCAGCACGAAGTGGAAATAGGAAATGAACTAACCTTGGTAAATCCAGCCTTCTCCAATTTCTTCTCCCAATATTGAATCGCATGCCAAACCGTTGGGTTTTCCGTCATGAACTTGATGAATGGTTCCGCATAAGCCTCGGAATCCTTGAGTCTATTCTCTTCCATCGCAACTTTAGCTACCTCCATTCTCAACCCATTTCCAATAAGTGAGTTGTTCCCCTCGTCCTGTTTGCTTTCATGGTATCCCTCAAACAAAGTTTGTCTGCTACTTGTAGACCGATGTCCAGTCTCGATAGACGAAGACTGATGAGACTTCTTTGTCATGATGTCATATAATGTGTCAGTTGCTCTAAATAACTTGGGGTTCCAAGGATATGAAGGAGTGATAGCTTCGACCGCGGGAGTGGCAAATGAATAAGTTTGAGCCCAAGTCTCCTCCAATCTTCGTTCGTTTTCAAGAGATGAAGAACGTGATCTTGATTTAGGTTCAGTAGTTACCATTGGAAATAACGAATTAAAGGCTAACTCTTTATCGACCTTAATTTTCGAATGACTTCGGTTTCGCAAAGCTTCATCTTCCCTGGCCCAACTTTCCAGTGCCCAAGCCTGATCAGATGAGCCGACAGGAGACTCAGCGCAAGGAACTTTCTTCCTTTCAACTGTATCATCCAGATCCCCATAAGTAGCCTTGTAAACCTCATCCTTCTGAGTGTACATCAGCTTTGGAGAACTTCCTCCGCTAGTGGGAGGATGACCAAAAGCGGCTTCGGCTTCATCAGTTGAACCCTCGAACCATTTATCCTCTTTTGGCAAATCTTGTATTGAGCGCGACGATTCGGCAGCAACAATTCGTTCATTTCGCTGTTGATATAGCTGATATTGCTCCAGGAGTGACGCTTCGCCTCGTGCAATTTTCTCTCGTAATATCTCTGTGCGGGTCCCGTATTTCGATGATCCAGCGCCGAGACTACGAATTGGTAATTCTTGGGGCATATTAGAATTGATGTCCGTGGACACTGGCGGAACTGGAGTTGTACAGATGGAAGAGGTTATGGGCTTGTTTTTAACCATTGTGGTTTAGAGTTTTAGGGCGAGAAGATGCGGTATGTGGCGGTATGATAGGTGATATGATAGGTGAGGAGTAAGTGATAGCGGGTGGCGATAGGTGGATGGATGGATTGATTGATTGTATCAATGATGAGTTGAGTTGATGAGTGATGATGATCGAAGTGATGAATGAGTGAGATGAATTGAGTGATGGATGAATGGTTGATTTGTAATTCAATTGATGAATCGACGAATTGAATTTACTGAAAGGGTGAGTGGTAAGTGTATGTATGAGTGTTGAATCAATTGAGATTAATTGAGGGTTGAGTCAAAGATGGGATAGGATGGGATAGGATGGATAGGATGGGGGGATGTTGTGATTGATTTAATGATAAGGGGGATTGAATTGAATATAAACACCGACACACCGATACACCGATACACCGACATTACCGACAAGTCTTGGCAATAACTTCACCGTATTCGGAGGGATTTAAGATCTTATCTCTTGGTATTGACGGTATTGCAGGCTTCATGCATTCTTGGCAATGTATAAATTGAGATTGAATAGGAACAGTATATATAAGTCAACGTCAATATTAAACATCAGTATCAATATCAACATCAGTTCATGAAGTTTACTGTAAGAACATGTCTTCATATAAATCACCCATCTCGCAAACAATTTCTGAAAGACAATAATGGTGGTCAAAATCTTTTTAATTCGATTAAGACTCAATACGGTACTGAGGAGACTCAAGACCCCGGTATTCCCAGGTTGTATCATCCATCATATAAAAGCCATGCTATATAAAGTTCATCATCATCATCATCATCATCGAAAAATCCTCAACCAAATGGCAAAAGAATCCATCCATCCATCATACTATCAATTCTGATATCCCGATCGATTCCATGCCAACTCAATCAAACATTTAGTATTGGTTTTCGTATCTGTTGAAGTGCTCTGGGGGACCACGTTGGTTTCTACAAAAAATGGTATGTCAGTAAATAGTCAAGAGTTTTGAAGGTAAGGTTAAGTGAGGATAAATAAACATACGGGTCATATTCATCATCTTGACCGTAATGTTGATCATAGAGATGCTCGGCTTGCTTCTTGGACTCCTCTCTCACACGGTGCTCACGGATCCAGTCCTCACCCTTGGTCTCAGCCAACTTGTCGACTTCACCAGCGGCGAAACCGGCGAGGAGCTCCTTAGCGAATGCGTGGGAAACTGTCTTGCCTGTAGAGGGTTCGTGTTAGTATATTGATTGTGGTGAAGGTGCTGAGAGGCCATGATTCGACGTACCTTCTTTGCGTTGTCTGTCCTCGAAGATCTTCATGGCGGCGAAACCAGCACCACCTGCGAGAACTTCATGACCGAGACTGGCAGTGTCTTGGTTTTGAGTTTGCTCGTAATGATCTTGAGATTCTCCTATAGTGAGAGATACATGTCAGTAAAAGCTCTCATCTTCTTGAGAAGTATATCAAGGTGGGGTATGAAACCCAAGGGAAGATGGATGATTTGAAGGAGAGGAAAAGTAAAGGAACGTACCCCAGCCGAAAACCATGTTGATAGATTTATTTGGTGAAAGTTGAAAAGTTTGAAAAAGGGATATATAATCGTTGATTGAAGTTGTAGAGTTGTAGAGTTGTAGTTGTTGATGAGAGGAGAGAAGGTTGAGGAGGGGAGATACGAGGGGTTTAAATAGAGCTACCATCAATATCCCTCCCCTCTTTTGCTGTGCCTTATGATTGATATTCACCCATCATCCACATTTACAAATGGTGCAATAACTAATATTGATTCATATTTAATTTAAACCAAATAGAGTAGTATATGATTCACCGTCCTATCAAATATGAGTATCATTCTGCTCCGCTTGTGGATGGGAGGGAGGTACAGTTGCATGGATTCTTACTCGCAGTTTATACTTTCAAGGCGAGCATCAAGCATGGTGGATGGATGAAGTAGTACTCCGTACATGGAGCATTCCCCCTTTATTTTCTATGGTACCGGTATCCCTATGGTGGTATTCCCTATGGTATACCTATGGTATCTCTAGTCATCAAGACTCAAGACTCAAGACTTCAAGACTCATTGTTGCTTTGATCTCATTCGATAACAACCAAAAGTCCAGGGTATTGTGATATCTCATACCCCAACCCACATTGCATGATACCTAACAGGTACAGCTACTTACTATTCATAGACAAGTGTCTACTAGGTACTCGAGTAGTTCTTCCAGTAGTTACACGGGCTTGCGTGGCTTGGAGAGAATGCAATGGAATCCTTCTTGTTTGCTTGCTACTGTACCCAATCAATCCCCTTCTCCAACAAGGTCATACGGTAATGTGTTGGTAATTTACCCATCCCATGAAATCTAGAAACACATTGATAGCTTCCATTGTCTCTGTTGCGTTGTACAACACAGCTATTGAGGGGTAAGGCAAGACAAAGGCAAGGCAAGCTCTCAGACCCCAACCCACTTCCTTCACCACCACCACCCATCAATCCATCAATCCATCATCAGATTACGGTACCGATACTTCTCCTGAAACTGTTAATTTGTATCCATTACGACATACCATACGATATGTCGATTTATTACTATAATAACAACATTCAGGAGAACCCTAACCCCTTCACCGGTAGTTATCAATTCTACCCTCTATATCTCAAAACAACCTCGTCGTCCACAGTCCACATCTAAATCTCTCCCATAAATGAACCCAAAACAAAGAAAGTTGATCTTCAAGGTCGATCAATCAGTCTAAAACATAACACGGAAGCCCCAACATCCACCAAGAACCATAGATGATCTCACCTCAACGAGTCACCACGACTACCGTATCCGCAGTTGATTTGAATTATTAAAGATCTCGAGCACAACCCGATTAACCACCGTGGCTTTGCGTGTCCTTTAAGCTATACAAGGATCATATACATTGAACCTCTCAGTGTGTCTCATCCACCCATCCGATACATTGCATGGAGGGGTGAGGCAGGAGTGAAGCAACAACCTTGACGGAACCGATGCATATAGAGACCATTATAGCTATTTTCTCAACCCCTTTAGAGTATCCTCTGTGTGTGAACCAGCCACTTGAATCTACAATCATGAGTATGTACTCACAAGCTGCTACCGAGGAAGTATACTCGGAATGACGGCTGTAACACACAACGCATAAACCAGATGAAGCAACTCAAATACGTAAACTCGGGGCGAATTGGAAGCTTCAATGAGCTCTCTCCGCCACTACGGCAATTCCACTTCTTATTGCTATTATGGATCAAAATCATCAAGCTCCGTCAAGGGTTCAGCTGAACAAGCTTCATTGGCTTTCGATAAACATCTCTTGGCATCGTGGCTGATGCTTGTTTCATAAGGAGGGGGCTTGGCTTTTCCGTCATTTACATAATTTGGGAGACTTTTATGCAATCACTTATAACACAACACATTAATCACAGCCTTGTGGGAAAGGCTGAGGACTTTTGTTTTTGTTTTGGAAGACAAAGATAAGCAAAAGCAAATATGACAACACCATATCTGCCAACTGTAGATGATCTACCAAAGAATCTATTATGTGATATTTTACCTTCGAAAGATGGAAAAAATACTAATATCTTGATATTACTCCATGGATTGGGGGATACAAAGGATGCCTTTACACAACTTGGTGAGCCTTCATCTATTTCATTTGTTTCCCTTCTACTTTCTTCATCATTTGAATACTGCTCTGTCTGCCAACATAATTGCATACGTGGCAGAATGAATACTTCCATCCATCTATGAGACTTCAAACTAATACTCCCTAGCAAAAAACCTATCCCTTCCTCAAACCGCCTCCCTAATCCCGCAAGCACCAACCCCCATCCCCGCCCTCATAACCGGATCCGAAGATCCCTCTTTCCACTGGGCCCGCGATCTCGAATTCGATTCCGCAACCGGCGAGCTAGATCTCGATGCTGATCTTTCTACCTCCATCACCCTCTTGACTTCCGTCATTGAGGTTCTAATAAAAAAATGTAACTATCCGCCACGAAATATATTTATATTTGGGTTCGGACAAGGAGGTATGCTGGCTCTTTCTACGCTCGCATTGCCCTCGTCTTCTATTGTACAAAATGAAGAATTGGGAGGTGTAATATCAATCGGTGGACGTCTTCCCACATCCTTTTTTCCAAACTCAAATTCGGGGGCGGATGGAAAAGGGGAAGTGAAAACTCCAATACTGGTAGCAGGCGGAAACAAGAAAACGGAAATCACAAGGACACAATTGGATAAGATTAAGAGTGCCTTTGCAGAAGTAGAATATGTGAAGTGGGATAGGGAGGGAGATGGGATGATGAGGGGGAGAGAGGAGGTTTTGCCGCTGATGAGGTTTTGGGGGAGGAGGTTGAGGATGGGGGTTCCGGAGGGGACGAGGGAAGTTTAAGGGGACGGGGATGTGGAAGGTGGGTATGAGAAGTGACTGGCGTTTTGAGTTGCATGTAGGCATTCTTGAAGGATGCACCATCTATGAATATATTGATACAACAGTGTCGGATCGTTGGTATTGCCAGTTCCATTGGTCTTTGGCCTGTGCAAATGACATGCAGATAGTTCTGCATTTGATACTATAGAAGGAATACCTGCTTAGCATCGTCAATCATCAATATATTTTCCACCTCCAATTACTGATTATATAGGTACACAGCTCAAGAGCCTTCACACACCAAGTATCTTCGGCCCATACGTGTTGTCATATCTTTTATTCGTGTATTAGGTAAAGTTCGAGTAAGTATGTTCGTATTATAATGACTACGGAGTCAAGTCCTACTCGTATTAGTGAATATAGAGCATACTACTCGTGATATCAACAATATTTAATAGATCGACCACATCCACAATCTCACATCTACCATCCTCAGTCATAATGGTTCTGGCTGTGCGAAAATAGATGAGTGAAGCGGATCTGGGTTTGTGAAGATAGGTGCCCGAGTAGAGATTTGCAAGTGCAAAACTGCAAAGTTTATCTCATTTCATTTCCGTCTACTTGATCACCATCGTTTTCTTATAGCTCTTTCTATCATTATTATTGCCACTCTTGAATATTTAATCATGGTCGTCACTCATTCATTCACGTCTTTCGAGTTCCTGATTTCTTTGGGATTTGAGATTTGAAGGAGATCTGTTGAGACGAGACAAGATTTATGACCTTGTTTTGTGCTTGCTTGTGTTTGCACTGATATAGCATTGTGTGCGGTTGCTTTTCTGTAAGCAAAGGCACGTTTTCATTACAAGTGTGTCTGTTTATTGTGTGCTTCTGGATGATGGTTTATAAACCTCTAGGAATGAATCTCGGGTATATGTTCGCTCTGTATCACTGGGCCATAGTATTATGGCAGGATACAGATGCGGGGTTTTGAGAGGATGAAGGATAAAAAGCGTGATAGAAGCAAAAGGGAATACCAAATGGAGAATACACCGGCGGTACAAACAAAGCAAAAGACATTCTCGAGATGTAAAGCTACCTATGGTTTCATATTTAAGAGAATACAAGGAAAATATGAATTTGTAACCAATGCTTCATTGGTATACAAGTAAATCATCAGCATTGCGTCTCCCACCTTGACTCACGAAGCACCCGGAGTGCTAGACAATCGGAGCACAGCGGCTTTGCGGATGACTTCGACGACCAAAGCCCCATATACTTTGCGTGTGATGGTGTTCTATCAAATCCTATCATCATTCTTTACATCATATTGGTATGGTACTATCTCATCTTCACCTACTGTACTTTCCTTTCTCCTTATTGTCATTTCAGCGTATTTATAGACTATTGTCGTTTTTATAAGAATATCTCATGCCATCTCACCTCACCTCTCACCTCCCGCTCTCCTCCGTGTATAACTATAATTCTGACTTGATTAGATGCGAGACGAGGGGGCTTTACATTAAGAGTTTCAAGCGCATGATAGTTGTCTCCTATGTATAATCTGCCTCCATAGGTCACTTGTATCTTACCGCAAACCAGAATACAGTTGTGCTAGTACTACTGGTATTTATGCACATGAGTTAGTTGCACGGTTTGGAACATTGTGGGTTTACTTATTCACTATTTCCTCCTCTCATGCATGTACTACTAGTCTAGGTAGTCTATTAGATACCTGGTACTCATCTTCAAAATCCGGATACGGGGGGAAAGGGGAAAGAGGAAAGGGAGACTATTGCAATGCGCGGAAATATGATACCATAATAATATAGAAATATGAGTCATATTAGTAGAGTAGAGAGTGAAAAGGTCAAACGAGGGGTATATAATCAGTTATCCGTGGCTGTTTTCTGCTTGAGTGTAGGCTTCTGGGGGGGAAAGCCAACGAAAACTTATGCTGATCAGTCTGGTGGGCACTTGGTGTATTTGACAACTTGTGCTGGTTGGTTGTTTGGTGTGTTTGTTTGTTGTTTCGGATTGTTTTGGTTTTGATTTTCTACTTCACATGCATATATGTATCTCAATGTCTTTTCTTGATATTCTATTATCGCTGTCATTACTGTCTTGAACACATCAATTTTATCCGATAATTGCAAAACTATAGTCTCATCCGCGAATTCTTCACCCTTTGATTCCCTTCCCGTTTCAATACCATTACATCGCATCACATTTCCAAATACAATGGACTTGGGGATCAAGGATGGTTTGTACTCTTGTAGCCGGAATTGAACCATCTGGATGGCCGAGATGTTGAAGGATTTCAGGGGACTTGGTGTTCGTTTATAAAGACCTAGATCTTATTTCTTCGTAAATTTACTAGGGTTGATTGTGGGGTTGATGCCTCAATGAATGGCTTGGGTTTAAGTGAATAGCTGGGCTGGGCTGGGCTGGGCTGGGGCATAAAGTTGTGTGTTGGTGATGGTGAGAGTGCTAGAGTGGAGAAGAAGGGAGAGGAAGAAGATGGAGAGGGATGGAGATAAAAAGTGAATTTACCGAATCTAAAGATATCAATATCGATATGAGGGTATATATTATATAGTCTGCTATAACTGTATATCGATAAGCATGAGCAGAAACAATTACAATATTGCGAACATGGTATCCTTGGTTGCCAAACTGGAAGATGGTATGCCTATAATCATGGAAGAAAGAGTGTTATGTGATATCTATCTATTAATGATTATATGATTTCCAAGGTTGGCTCTTGATCATTTCGGATCTTTGGTTATTGTCTTCTATGCTTTGATTGTCGCTATTATTTATATAACTGTTCTTTTACTTGTATCACTGTTGTTACATTGCTATCTTACTAATATTGTATTGTTGTTACGGCCACAAACTTCTAAATAAACTTCACCTATTGATATATCATATCCCAAACGTACTTCTCACAAAAGAATCCTACTCTATCTTATTCCGTTCCTTGTTACCTTGGTGAGTACGGTATGTAGTGCGGCCTTTAGGGTTTGTGCTATGGATATGATTTATTGATATAGAACTTCGATTGATTGATTGTTTGTTTGGAGATATAGTGCGAGGTTTTTGACTATGAACGGATGGATGGATGGATGGATGGGGAAGAGGTGAATCACCGTGAATGGGGAAGGGGTGAGGGGTGAGGGGTATGATTTTGGGTTAATAGAGTGGGGAAAGGAGAAGAATACGAATGGAGAAAGGGAAAAGAAAGGGGGTACATGAATTCAAATACCTTGTCGCAGAGGTATATAATCAACCAGTGATTCCGTATCCAGAAAAGTAGATACAGAACATCGAAAACGAACTCAGTCACTAGACATTCTTTTTGTCGACCTATCTTGATTTAGTAGGCTCTAGATTTACACTAGATGGTTTTTACCATATCACAATCTCAATGCTTGATATTCATTATTTAGATTATCATATTTACTCTCATTTTCTAAGCTCTGTATATTATTGTTATTAGGATCTATTGGCATATTGCTATATTATCATTATCATTATTTCCTCTACGAATCATGCTGTAATAGTCTTTCGTTATCAATTTCAATTTCGAGATTCTTCCTACGTTTTGTTAGGTGTCCGGTAGAACCGAATTTTGTTTCATGTAATGTAGTGGGATGTGCGAGTAGATCTAGCGATAGGTCACACTCCTAAATTCAACATTCAGTGTAGAGGAATAGCGGTATAGTACCAGAGAACATCTGCACGTTAACAATATATAGACTGAGATTGCCTCAGAAGGCTTTATTGTGGGGTTATATCAAGTGAATGTGAATGGAGATTCAGAGATGAGGTGAAGGCTCACAAGCGCTTGTGCTGCTGAATGTGTAAACCGATAGTTTGATATCGAGGTATAAAGTCTTGAGTGGTCGGATTCAGGAGTTGATAATAAGTGTGGTGTTGGATCGACAATCACTTCTTCGGACTCGAGGAAAATAGCCACCTCGAGGACTAGATGGATGAATGTCTGTACTTACCTTTTCGGAGAATTGTTGTTAAGGAGAGGGTAGGTGGGTGTTTGAATACCCATATCATCTCATATAATGTTAAATTAACCATCTGTCGTCTATCGTTATACTTTCTTTAGTTGAATTTATCATTGTCATTTCGAGATTATCGGTACTCACTATCATAATATTCATGTTATTATATTTGCCCTTTCCAGTATCAATATAGCGCTATATTACCTCCCATGATAGACAGATAGTCTGTGATCCAAGAGTTTTTGATATCAAAAGAGAGATTTCCAGTTCCTTGAAAAACTTGTTGATTTGTGAAGCATCTTGCACGAAACCGATAAACATTTCAGGCCTCGGGCTGTATTTAATGGGTGGAACATAATCTCAGGATTCAAAGTAGGAAGGAAGAGATTGACGCACAGAATCAATTAGAGAAGCCAAGGATTGACTTATTGTCGAGGTATATAAGTTGTGTGAAGGGATGTGTAGATCGTTCATACAACACTTGAATGCAATTCACCGTTATTCAACTCAGGGCAGAGGTAGATTCATTTATAATTACAAGATATGAATGTATAATATTTCCCTGTTGTAAGGATATACATCTTGGAGATGGGTAGCTAGCTATACATGGGTTATTTGAACTCATTGTCCGTCGTTTAGACTCTATTTTCCGTCACTCCAAGTTCTGTCACTTCCGTTATTGTATCCAGATGATTTACACTTTCGTTGTCAGAATAATTACAAGCCTGATCCTACTGTTAGCCCCTTGGTCATGATTGCCATCTCACTCTACCAGTGCTGTTCTATATCCGAAATAAACCTAGATTATGTTATAAACTACCGCGCCCCTCTCCGAGTTTATTCTGTATAGAAGATCCAGAAGATACCATATTTCGTTGTCATTGCTTATACTCGAGTATATCAAACATTCTTCGCTTAATACCGCGGACAAAATGCAGTATCTGGTCTAATATGTGTCCCAATGACATTTGTAAAACAATATAAGATTAAAATAAGCCTCGATCTCTGGAATCTTCACCTAGATCATACAAGATGTTTTGATTGAATCGTGTTCGAGAAGAAACATCCAATCCACTAGACGAAATATATAGCACGTAAAGAGAAAAGTTACAGTCGAACAGGAGACTAATAGTATCGCTCAGCTTTTATTTTCCAATTACAAACTAAATGTAATGTTGATCTATCAATATAAGAAGAGTTTCTTGCTTCCACCATTGAACAAAGATATTATAACACAAATTCGCTCTAACAACTCGTCCATTCACGCAAAACACCTCTCCCCCACCCCTCTCTCAATCATCTACCCATTTATACACCGGTAACTCATGATCAGACCCCCCTGATCATTCGAAAGAAGCCTATGAATCTTCGTCTTACCCACAAACCAAATAATCGAGTCTCTAACCCGCATACCCCATCTAGTTTGCGGCATAGCAATCTGATGAAACCCCCAAGGAAGATTCCCCATCTTCTTATAAACCGGTCGAAATACTTCCTCGTATCTCTGCAACGCCTTTGGAATATCATGGCTACTTTGTATCTTCGATACTTCTCCGGCAAGTATATAAGCACCATCAATCTTCGAAGTGGCCCCATCTGCACCAACAACTAAATCAAATGTGTCTTCTGAGCCCCCATTGAATGTCACATCAACACCACCCTCCTTCTGTTCTACAGTTTTGACAAAATCACCGTACACATATTCCACATTCTCAAACTTCCGCAAAGCCTCCAAAAGAGCTCTGATAAATCTGCCCTCAAAATCTCGTAATCCGAAGTAAAAGTTATCACCAGCAGGAAACGTTGCAATTGGTTTCCCAAATGAACTCAACATCATCGTACCCTTTTCAGTAGTAGACCGAGCGCGAATCTCTTCTTCCAATTTCATTTTCTTGGTAATTTCAACGGCAGCACCATGAATATCGATGGCTTGCCCATTGGCTCTCGGAACAGGTGATTTTTCGATCACTTTGATCGACGTATTGAGACGAGTCCTACAGAGCCAATACGCGAGACATGGCCCCGCAATGCCGGCTCCTAGGATGAGTACTTTCAATTTGGGTGCAGTTGTAGATATCATTGTGCTTGGATGTCTTCTAAATTGTTTATCTAGATCTGATATTGTGGAGGTCGAACTTTCGTGGGAGGACATAACAAATGCCAAATGCGCATCTAGACAGAAGGGAAGATAGGGTAAATAAGCAGCGAATATAATGAGCACCAGCCGGATATCAGAGATAGTAAGGTTACTGGCATGCTGATTTGATCAGCGTTGAGTTCCTTTCGCTCCTCCGTTATTGTTTGTCAAGAACTTTCTTTGCCGCTCCCGAAATACCTCTGCCTTAAGTAAATACCCTCCCCCCCTTACAATAAGTCGTGGCTAAACTAGGCTTCGGTTATCGGGTCTTCGGGTATTTATATTACCCGAAACTAGCGAAACAAGAGGGGGGCGCATAATGCCTTTGAAGTGTCACGAAAAGATTTAACCTCAGTCTCATCAAAACAGCATAATGAAGCTTTCCTTTCGTGTCAATGAAAAATCAAAGGATTCGATATATACACATAGAACTATACAAGTAAGGTTATTCTGTATTTCCTAAATTTTGTCCGAGCGGAAACCAAAAAAATGGAAGTAAGGGTACCTATACCTACTCTTGTAAAGATTCCAGATTAAATCAATTAGTATATCACGGTCCCCTCCAGTCATACACGATACCATAAAGACATATCATCAACTACCCATCACCGCTCGTGGCTTCAAGCATTGAGTTCCATTTCCAGAATACTTGTGCTCATTCGACCCACATGCAAGTCATCGGCGTGGCACAAAACCAGCTCGGTTACGACCTATTCGTGAAATGAACCGCGAACCCTAAGAAGATTATTGGTGAGATGTTTCATCAAACAAGCAATTCTCCCCCAAGGCTTGTATTCACAGAGAGTAATGGCGGATGACATTGATATTAGTAGAAAACTTTAACAGATTAATAAGCGCAAGCTCCGATCAAAAGGATTGCCAGTCAAATGGCTTCTAGTAGGAGAAGATGCGGCAAGCAAAGCCCCAATCAAATACCCTATACCTCAAACCCCGCCAGAATCCTCCCAAACATCTCGCCCATCCTCCAACACCCCATGCCCCTCAAGCCCCTGCCCGCCCTTCTAATCCCCTCCATCACCTCCTCTCTCTCCATATCTCCCAATCCCGTCCTCAACTCCTTGTAAACCCAACAGACTAATCCTCCGGTAAAAAGACACACCGCAATCTCATAACTCGCTTCTTCTGGTCCACTGCCACTCATTCCCATAGTACCCAGTATCCCATCCCCATCACTACCATCTCTTTGGCGAATGCATTCTTCAGATAAATTGAGCATTTCATACACGTTTCTCATGGTGCTACCCACGATGTCGGAATTAGCCCAGTATCGCAGATTGACCGCTGCAAAATCACAATCTTGACGACTTGAAGATCGACCTGCCATTAGGTGAACATCACTAAGGCTGACATCCAGACTAACATACCCCAGCGCGCAGAGCAATCTTCCAGCCACGGATGGTTCGCCAGAACTAGCCCCATAACATTCGGTCCAAGAATCTAATGCGTCCATCAACCATCTCCTCCTGCTCAAGAGTCCAGCACCCATATCTAGTGCATGATTTCCCATTGTCCCCATGAGTCCCGTTGGATTGAGCATAGACACCGAGGTCCGCCAGTCAAAGATAAGGGTATGCACTGCGTAGAGAAGAAGAGTTTTGCCGAATATGGTGGTCGGTATGACAGGTGGAGGAGGTTTGGTCCATTTGTGAAGAAGAATACCGTTCAAGGCATGGAGATAATATGTCGCAGGTGGAATATCAGCTGGACCAAGGAGCATCTTCCAGGCTTGTGGCGATGGCGCTTCCCAATGTCGTTCTGGGCATGGAAAGACGCAGTTTGTGGTTTCGGCTCTACTGATACACGGTTGAACGTTGAAGAGTGTAGCATATTGACAGTCAAGGATCTGTCAAATGTTAGAAGATATGAGGCCCAAGTATTGATGAAGCATACATAAATCGATAGGCCAAGCCTTTTTCTCTTCTCGGTCTCTACCCATGAAAACCACTCAATTTCCTGTGGCGAACTCCTCGGTAGCGAGCTTGGGTCAAGTTGGACTCTAGACATTGGCCTGCAATCTAGTAAACGAGCTCGTCGACCAGCTGTTATCAGGATACCCCTCACACCCTCCGCGAACTCGAACATTTTCTTACTACCACCCCAGGCACCAGCGAGCAAAAGATTGAACAAGGTGAAAACATTGTCGAGAATTCGTAGCTTTGGAGGTATCAGCGGGAATCATCAATTCAGGAAGACATACTGACATGTTTTTCTTCAATTTCATGCAATCTCATGCTCGCCACTCGTCCACGATTATGAAATAGTCGTAAAAATCGACCACGATCTGCCGTCGAATAACATGATCCTAAAAACATCATTGACAAGACTAGAAGAGGACAACTGGCGAATATATCAAATGTTGGGATGTGGGCGATAGGAAATCGTGGATGTACATGTCGAAAATAAAGTCGAAGAAAATAGTCCAGCACTTCCAAAGGTGGAAATGTACAGCTATTTATTTCCACATATACCGTATCCCCTGAATGAGCTGGAAGCTCAATTTGTAACATGCCTAGTAAGGCCGATCGTAATACATCGTTGACTTGTTGCCTTGGTCCTACAGTGAAACTGATCGCCCTAGCTTCTTGCGCGACCGCATGCCATGATTCTGGGCCTAGACGAGGAATAGTCCTAGGACCCCATCGTGGTGGACTTTCTAGTCTACTGACTTTGTCCGGCCAGTCTTCCTCATCTCCTTCGGCATCCAGATCATTCGATTGGCCCGAGAGATCAGACTTGACGAAATCCGGGCCACCAAAACCAAAGTCCACGTCCATATTACTCCAAGAATCTTGGCTGAAGTAGTCTAATGTCCAAGATATATCGGCATCATATGATCCCATGAAGACACTTGGAGCATCATTGTAAGGCATGAAGCCATCCCATGTATTGGAATTAAAATTCTCAGGAACGCGAAGTTCATTATCAAAAGGAGGTGGTGCCAATGCAGCTTCAACAAGACTCGAGAGGCCTTGGGATGGAGTCAAGGGTGAGCGTGAGTCAGAATATAATGCCTCTTGAATGGGTGGCAGGGTATCATGCCGACCGCCACGATATTGCATACTAGGTGGTAATGAAGTTTCAAAAGCATGATTAATCGGTATAGATTTCTCATCAGGATGGACAAGATTAGAAATGGGTTGAGGTTCAGATGGAGAAGGCGAGGTAGATTGTGGTGTCACGTGAGGTCTTGGAGTACCACCACGTTTATGTATTCGACGATGTCGACTTAATAGATCACTCCTCGTGAACCTTTTCTTACAAACCGCACAAGGAAATTTACCAACTTCATCATCTGTTTTGGTGAAGGTCATCATCAGCACGTGATTAAGATCAAAGCTCAAAGTAAAGAGAAGCAGAGAATTCGAAACAGGAAGCACAGAAGCACAAAAGGAGGATAATTAAATAAGAATAAGATAAAAGTGCTCACGATTGGCTTGATGTCTAGTTAGGTTTTCAATCCTACTAAAGTTCTTTGGACATTGAGGACATTGAAATCGATTTCCAGCTTCTGATGATTTAGCAGCCAGTGGCGGTGGTGGATTTGGACTTCCCCTCCTCAAACATGTTGAAGATGTACCAGTACCACTACTACCACTTTTCGAAGTATTGACAGCAGTACCAATGAAATTCGAATTTGGGGCGATTTCATACAAAGCAACAGGAACAGGATCATTATCCATAACTAATTGTCTTCCGAGTAATCGTATGAGATATCATATCATGGTCATAAAAAAAAGGTGGACGGGTGAGGACGGATATTAAAGATGGCGGGTCAACTTCTGTGTTGTGTAACCTGAAACCTGTAGATTTGTAAGATATTGGTAAAATGGAATTACACTTTCAGCCAATAAGGGTGACCCGGAAGTGGACGGAGAATATCCGGATAAATTTATAGATAGAAAGAGGGAAAGAGGGTTAGGGGGAAGTTCGATTACTATAAGGGAAAGGATTATTATACTCAGGCTCATAGATGTTGTATTCTCGGGATAGAGTCGAGGGAAAGAAGATAAAAACAGTCAAATCATTTCTCTATTTCTCTAGATATCTTCACTAATAATCCCAAGCTACGCTTCACACTTTTCGCTTTTCGCTTCCCCTATTTCCACATGCTCTTGTAAGTCCTCACGACTGCGCCTTAGCTTTCCAGTCCTCATGAGCTTTCTTTTGTTTTTCCCAATCCTTCCTCAACTTCTTCAATGCACTCTTTAGCACGTCTTCTCCATCTTTCGTCTTTGTTGGTATACCATCAACATCCCATGCACTGAATCTATCATCCTTGAACATATCAACCGGACTGAGTTTGGCCTTCTCCAGCTTTTGTTCCTCCATTCTTTCTCTGGCAAGTTTAGCGGCTTCTTTTTGGGCTGCCTTTTCTCTTTCCCTGGCCGCTTTCTCTTCCTTTTGTGCTAGAAGTTCTTCTTTTGGAATAAACTTGATGAGTGAACCTTGACCATCCGATCTGTCATCGAGATAAACACCAAGATTTGTCAGATCGTTGTCTCGAATTCGATCGGATAATGACAAGATATGTTTCTTATGATCGGAGGTTGGTGCTAGTTGTCGCAACTCATCTCTGGTCTTTGCGACGGCTCGAATATATGGTAGAGCAAGAGCTTCCTGATCTTTCGTGCCACATGATACGAGTGAAGCGAATTCACTGTCAACGTCTGTGGCAAGTAATTTATCAAGAGTCTCGGAATGTAATGATAAGCCCTCAATTTCTTGCTTGACTTGCTTGAATACTTCGGAATAAGGTGCCACAATCTGCACAGGGGTGTGATTGCTGTCCACAGAAGTACTAGCCCAACCAAGTCCATTATATGGTGCTGTTGCATTTGCATCGAGACCGAAGATGCCAAGAATCTTAGTTATCCATCGTGCAACTTTTTCAAGTCCCTGGATGTCAAGGTCAGACTTTTGGGAGCCTATGTGGACATTTGATTCTTTAACAAGTTCTTGTAAGATAAGCATTGCTCGTGGTGTATCGAAAGATTCCGTGAGAGCGGTCTGAAGATCTGCTTGTGCTTTGTCTAATGCTGTTTGCAATTCTGGATGAATAGAAAGAGCCTTCAAGTCCTCAACAGATGTTGAATTTCCAGCTTCGATGATAAGTGATTTGACATTGACAAAGAAGTTATTAATTGTAGCTTCCCATGCGTCGGCCATGAGCCTCATATCTGGCGAAATTTCGACACCATCATTCCACCGACCCATCAGAAACACTATTCTCATCGACCTTGGAGTATAATCGATAGTCAATGCATCCCGAATGGTTTGGAAATTCTTCAGAGACTTTGACATCTTGGATCCTGCAATAGAAAGATGACCCATATGCAAGAAGTAATTTACCCACTCATGCGGACCATGCTCATGTTCGCAGAAATAAGCCTCACTTTGCGCCAATTCATTGTCATGATGGGGAAATGCGAGATCAATACCACCAGAATGAATATCCATTTTCGATCCCAAAACATCCGAGGCCATAACAGAGCACTCAATATGCCATCCAGGTCTACCTTCACCCCAGGGACTAGGCCAACTTGGTTCTCCTGCTTTTGACTTTTTCCAAAGAGCAAAATCTCCTGCTCCTCGCTTACCACCCAAATTCTTCGATAGTGACCCTTCTCCTTCCTCTTGTAAGGCCTTGTCATTTTTACTTTCGGGTCGGAGTCGTGCGTAAGGATTGCCCGCTCTCTCGAATGCTGTAATGTCAAAGTAAACAGACCCATCCGTCTCATATGCGAATCCCTTTTGAATAATCTTCTCTACAAAGATAGCAATCTTTGGTACATAGGTGGTAACTCGTGTGATAACATCTGGTCGCATGACATTCAGTGCATCCATATCTTCCATGAATTGGTCCTCCCAGTATTGTGTGACATTCGTGAAAATAGTATGGTCTTTAGCATCGATTGAATCCTTGTATAAAGAGTCAAGGTAGGGAAGAAGTATCTCATCTGCTCCGCCAAAGATCTCCTCCTGCTGTATTGCTTGCGCCGCTAGGGAAAGATTGTTGATGTGCATTTTCATTTTGGCTTCGGCATCTCCTGGTTTCCCTTCACCAGTCAATGTTCGACCTGCCAATACATTCCCATATGCTGTATCTCTTCTTTCCGCATAGTTGCTAGGCGTAAGTTGAGTGCCAGCCTTCAATAATTCGGGGAGATTTGCGGTTGCGTATGACTGGAAAGCTTCTGCTGCTAATTTTGCGAGTTCAGGTTCGGTATATGTTTTCGATTTTTCCAGCTCCAATAGTTTTTGTCTTCTGGCTTTAAGGATAATCTGTCAAAAGATCATCAGTCAATTACCCCGCCAATCCCAAATTCTGCGCATCCCACCTTGTCATCGACATCTGTAATGTTCATAACAAAATTTAATTCAAATCCAAAATAATCTTTCATGATCCTTCGTATGATATCGGTTGAAACATAATTCCTAGCATGTCCCAAATGCGAGTGATCATATACTGTTGGTCCGCAGACATACCAAGAAACCTTTCCCTTCTCAATAGGAACAAATGGAACTGGACCCCCAGGCTTCAAAGAGTTGTGAACCTTCAATTGATCCATCCTTATGAACTTATTTGTCGTAAACTTTCGAATTGAAAGAGAATGAATAATATGAGAATTAGAAAAAGAAGAAAGTCTTAAAGAACGTAAAGGAAGAAACATTCAGTTCAGTCATCAAATATGGTCCTGGATAGATTGAGTCACTTCTTTGTGTGAGTTTGATACCGGTATGAATTATGAGTAGGGGTAGCAGGTGAGCCAACGAAAGGGCTGATTCGTTGCTTACTCTGAAAATAAAAATAAACTTTATTGTGAGGCTACCTTTCAGCCTTACTTGCTACCTTGACTCAGCCTTGCGATTTGTAAAATTATTTCTTTCGACAAAAGATAGAATCAGGACTAGGAAAAAGAAAGTCCAACAACAATAATATAATCAATCAACAGCAAATATGAGTACAAAAAGATCACCATTTCTCTACCCTGGAGAGACTTCATCTTCAGATCAATTGGCAATTTTACATTTGAAAAGGGATCTCCAAACTCCAACAATTCTAAAGAGCTTCGATGAAAAGGATGAAGGATACTCAGAGGGCAAGGTGACAAACACTCGATTTGGATCTTTTCCACATACAACTTTAATCGGATTACCATGGGGAACTCAAGTTCTTGCATCAAAGGTGGATACTGGATCTAGAGGACGAAGAGGTGACAAGAAACGAAAACGAGACGATGTGGACACTGCCGATACTCCTAAAGTTGTGGAACTCATTACAGAAAATGTTGAGGATGGATCTTCAACTCCTGCGAGTGCGACCAAGGATATGACGGAAGCTGTAGCTGCTGGAAGCGGGTTTATACATTTCCTACCGCCTACGCCAGAGAACTGGACCAATTCGCTGCCACATAGAACCCAAGTTGTTTACACGCCCGATTACAGTTACATCTTACATCGTATACGCGCAAGACCCGGGACGAGTCTAATTGAAGCAGGAGCTGGTAGTGGATCTTTTACACATGCGTCTACAAGAGCTGTCTTTAGCGGATATCCTGATGAACTTACAACAAAGAAGCGCAAGATAGGGAAAGTTTGGAGTTACGAGTTTCATGAACCGAGACATGCGAAATTGGCCGAGGAATTAGAAGAGCATGGATTGGATAGCATTGTAGAGATTACACATCGAGATGTATGTGAAGGAGGGTTCTTGGTGGATGGAAAGAGTCCAAAGGCTGAGTCTATATTTCTGGATTTACCTGCTCCATGGTTGGCACTCCCGCATCTTACTCGATCTCCTCCACCTCCCATCAAGAATCCCAATGGAGAAATGGCCCAAGCGAAACCCAATACTGAACCGTTCATTTCCACCCTCAATCCCGAAGCACCAATCCATCTATGTACCTTCTCTCCCTGTATCGAACAAGTCCAACGAACCATATCCGTCATGCGACAACTTGGCTGGGTTGACATTGAAATGGTAGAATTATCAGCAAAGCGCTTTGAAATCCGCCGAGAAAGAATAGGCATTGATAATGGGGTACAAAGAGGTCTACAGACTACACCAGCTACCGTTGAAGAAGCCGTTAGTCGATTACTAGAAGTCGAAACTGGACATCAGGGCTTCCACAGGAAAGGTGACGCCCCAGAGAAAATGCCAAGACAGAATCCAAATACAAGGGCAACATTGATCAAGAGCTTAGTAGAGGGCAAGATATATAAGGAAGGAAAGTTAATACATAAAACGGAACCAGAAGTGAGGACTCATACTTCGTATCTGGTATTTGCAGTGTTACCGAGAGAGTGGAGTGAAGAGGATGAGAAGAAAGCGAGAGAGAAATGGGAGGTTGACTTTGATGGCGAGCCGGAGGTTACTGCGAAGAAGCCAACCGAATTACCTATGAGCAAGAGGCAAATGAAGAAAGTAGCAAGAGCTAGTCATATCAAACCACAGAGTGCTGCTGCTGCTGCGCCGGCTAGTGATGGGGTAGGAACTGTGAATGGAGCGAATGGACCAGTCAAAGAAGAGGCAGAAGTAAAGGCAGAAGCCTAGATCGCAGATATAAAATAATAGACCTCCCCAACCGCCACCTCCATGTATATCGTCAAATCTATTTCAAGCCACGGATGAATTGTCCAAGTTGAATGGCGAGCATTGACATCGGGTTCATTTATCATGAAGATAATGAAAGCCAAATATTCTTCGACTTGCATATATTTCTCTCCCGCACCCAGTCTTCACTTCACATGGTAATTGTTTAGATTGCAGATGAAGCTGTAGTAGATCAACAAAGATCTTTTATGACCTATAACCTGCTCGTCTGGCTCTCCTCTCATTCTCTAGATATTTATTCTCTAGATATTTCCCTGTTGGCGTTTACAGCTCTCGTTCAAAATGTTAGGAAATAAGACAGTCATGCCTTCAGTCTAATAAGGGCGATTGATTTTGCGCAACATGAGCGATTGGGGTATAACTTACTAGCTCCTCTCGTAAGTTGTAACTCGTCAAGGACGAATGTTCAAAGAAAGTCGAGGACTTCCTTACCTTATGGTAAAAGCGGGCAATATCATTTTTGCCTCACACCACCGCAGACTAATAGAGAAAGCTCTTATACACTCTCTGATGGTTGCGTGCCCACTCCTCAAGTCTCAAGGTGAAGCCATATATATCTACTTTCAGTTCCAACAATATTGTGGACATTTGACGAAAATTTCATTCGCTCATGTCTCATTTTGATGCGCAACGAGAGTCTCCTGTATATTTAATCTCTCTGAGCCATATCTAATCTCAATTTCTAACGGAGTCATTCATATGTTTCTAGGAGACAATCAAACCGAAAAAACGTGGGTGGAGGCTTGATTCGATGATATCGATCATCATCTTTGATAACCGAAGTGGTATCAGGAATGGCCCCCAAAAATTATTATCATTACCTATCCTATCTTCAAAGCTTGCACATAAACCAAGTTGAAATATAATGTCACGTCAAACGGATGGAAGGGAGATTTACTCCATGACCCTCGTGTTGAGAATGAGCTCCGCTTTCACTAGATATTACTCTACCTAGGTAACCATCTTAAACTCGGAAATTATATAGTACTCGAGTATATACAACACGCTTCGAAGGTTCTCGCTATAACATCCGTACTTGCGTGATATCTCAGCTTGCGATAATTCTTCTGACGAGTTTTTACGTATAATAGAGTAATAAATAATCGATATACACTCGTACAATGCTGCTAAGAAGTATATTTGTTGTATACATAGATCTCTTCATAACATCCTAATACACCAAATTTAAGTATAATCGAACACTCGCCCAGAATCTGTCATTCCTGAAGGGAACTTATATTGACTGCTAACTCTGTTTCTTGAAGGACTTTTACTCACATGGGCATATGTCTTCGTGGCAGGCTTTTCCATCAACTTCTCCCACCTCAATTTTGATTTAACTCAAGACAGCAATAGTTGCATGCCCCAGACACCCTTTTACACCGAGATTTAAGGCAACGAAATCGAGCCAAATCCGATGGCACTATACCTTATTTGGCCCCAGGGTTAATATCACGGCGGAGTTAATGTTAACTCCGCCGAGCCATCCATCTCCTTAATAACAACAAAATCCAACTAGCTCTTCTATTGATCATCACAATCTCACAAACCACTCGACATTCAAAACGAAACATCACTAAGCACCATGGTAGCAGCACCTCCATCAACCTGGCTAATAACCGGCGCCTCCTCCGGCTTTGGTAAATCTATCGCTTTGGAAGCTCTCCAAGCCGGCTACAAAGTCATTGGAACCACTCGCAATATAAGCCAAGCCGAAACATCCTTTCCCGATTTTGTCACAAAGGGTGGGATCTGGATAGCCTTGGATCCCGCTCAGAAAGATGCTTTTGAGCATTTTTCCAAGTGTGCTGAAGAACATGACGTTGATGTTTTAATCAATAATGCTGGTTATGCTTTTATTGGTGGTATCGAAGACACGAGGTCAGTTGTTGATATCTTGGGTGGTAGCAATGACTGATATAGATGAGTAGTGAAGATGAAACCCGCGATCAAATGGAAGTTAATTTTTACGGACCTCTTCGAGCAGTCCGAGCTTGTCTTCCGATTATGCGTGCCAAGGGCTCAGGAAATATCATTCTTATAAGCAGTGGCGCAGGGTAAGGCTTTTTCAATCCCCTTCATTGTCTCTAGCTCCCATTCTTCTGGGTGCACTTATAGTTCCACTAACGAGACATATCCCACACGAAAAGATTCATAGCCCGCCCAGCACGATCATCATATTCCGCGAGTAAATTTGCCATCGAGGCGGTCTACGAGTCCCTCTCTCATGAGGTCAAGACCTTCGGCATCAAAGTCCTGATTATAGAACCAGGGGCATTTCGAACACCTTTCGCAAGCAGGATCATTAAACCAGCTCAGTATCAAGAGAGCCATGGGTTTAGCGATGCTTATAAGGATACTGCGGTTGAGCAGATGGTTAATGCAACTGTAAACATCATGTCCATTCCGGACTTTGTGAAAGGAGACCCTGATAAAGCTGCGCGCGCAATTATCACGGCTGTCGTCGATGGTCACGAATTTCTTCGTATGCCATTGGGGCCAGATTGTGTGAAGGCATTGGAGGATAAGATTGGACAATTACAGGGAGACTTGGAGGCGTCTAGAGTAATTGGCACGGCTACGAATTTTGACTGATGAATTAGACCAACCACAAGATCGCCCACTTAGGCTGGCTCGACAGTGCGTGTACGGCTGTCTGGGTTTCATGCTTCATTTCACTCCACAAATCCTTGACATGAAATACATCAACTGTCGGCGACAGAGATTGGGAATTGAAAATAGTAGAGAGCAGAGCTCTGTGTTTTTTATGGTCGCAGAAACAAAGAAACACGAGTAGCCTGATTCTGTATGTGCGTGCCAATATATCCGAGTATTGAATGGACTAGTAAGTCTTGACGTCAAATGTAAAGCTCTCCTTTTCTCAGTTGTCCAACATTCTGCTCCAACCCAAATGCAACGTGGGGTATTTTCTCATCACTCTGCCATTGAACTTCAAAATCTCCATCGGCAGCGTTCGAATCGCTAGCTGTAGTCTGATTCTGCATGGGACCAAATTTTATTCTACGGTTGCCAGCATCTTTTTGCAATGGGTCAGCACCCAGCGATGATCGACCCAGACATTGGTTTAATTCAGGGTTCCGTGTGGTGGCAATAATGGCCGAAAATGAATTCGAGTGTACCACTCCGTTGGAATGTATGGCGTAAACTCCGATGAGTACAGCTATGACAGAAAACAACAGAGCCGAACCGTAAGATATAAGAAGCCAAAAGGGGTGATACACATAGTAATTGCTTGTGTTAGAAGTAATGATGTTTTGCAGTACATCGTAACTTGTCAAATTTGGAGAACCGAGATAACTGATGGTGATATTGTTCGCTAAGTCTTCAATACCATGCGCCAAGGTTCGATTTCGGCATAGCCATGGTTGAGTAGTCGAAGTGAAAGTATTAGTAAAAGTCGTTGAAATATTTCGAACAGTCCATGAATTTTCATCTTTGAACGGGGTATTCGCGATTTCGTCACAAGCCATTAATCCCGTTCCAAGAATATTGGTTGTTCCGTATCCAGAAAATTGCTGAACTCCTTCACTGTTGGTAAGATAACTGTCTCTTAGGGTAATGTTACCGCCAAGTATACCTCCAAGGGCATACATATGTGGAAGGTATTCATTCCACTTGACTTTGACCACGCCCCCTTTTGCGCTTGTGGTGATGACTCCATTAGAATCTGTTTCGGTAGTTCCACCTAGTATGTTGCCAACATCTGCATAAAAGAGGTCATATTCCCCAATAATCTCTATATCTTGATGGGTGACATGCTGAACACCATCTACATACGATACTGCGATCTGAAACGAGGCATTTACCGCGGTGCACACCAATTCTGAGGTTGAAGTTTGAACCCATAATTGAGGATATAATAAGGCAAAACCTCGAAATGAAAGTGGAAGATTTCCATCATTCGGTGTGGCTGCTGCATACCACTAAAACATGAGTCAGTGACCCCCATCAAGGGAAACTTAAGGGTGGAAACAAAGAAGGAAGAAAAGTATTATTATGAAGTGAAGAGGATATGAAAGATGGTATATGGAAGTGGAGCTTGGGGTAGTGTAGTGTGAAATAAAAAAACCGATTATACTTACACGGCTCCACGATGCGTAAATGAGTCTGCCAGACCCTACACCAAATGTGCTATTTGTACGGTTATCGTCTCGATCATTGTAAGTAAAAATGTTGTCCTGCTCAAAATATTGGGTAAGATTTTTAAACAAGATCTGTTCTGTGTTGTTCGGTTCATTGCATTTGATAGAAGGGCCATAAAACTGCAAGGTGTATGACCATTCTGACCCGGATACCTGTCGAGCTAATTCCAATACGTTGTTGTTTGAGGCTGTATTTAGAGCTATGGTGTTGGTAACTGAGACTGCGTTCCACTGACCATCCATGGAATTATTCCAAGTAGATTTTGAGAAATCAAGGACTGGCAAATGCACTTCTTGTGAGATGTTCCTTGCGACGATTGTTAAGGTAGCCGGAGGGGCAACGCTTGCAAGACCCAACAACCTGTATGTAATGAGCTAATCTCCTCGTTACGCCAGACGATGAGTGAGTTCGCTAGTACGTACCAAATAATAACACCCAATATCAGAGCAAGTTTCGCGTCTTTGAAGAGCTCGATACTAAACATTGCCGTTGGATCTGTTGACAATGCAAACAGCCGATCCAAGTTTTCTGATGCGCAAATATTAGTATGATAACCTCAACATCTGAGAGAAAGCAGTACTTATAGTCAATGGTTGATGTTTAACAACCATCCAGATATATTGACCAAGAGCAGCACTTGTTGCAGCCGTGAGACACGATGTGACTAGAAACGCAAGTCCAGTGCCAATACGCGTGGGCCAAGCTTGCTTTGTTTCATCGCCAGTCAATTCATTACTCAGCGACATATAATAAAAGTGATGGGTGAGTGATAGGGCAAGGCCAGCAACGAGCATGAATGCAATAAAAGATGGTTTCTTCCAATGAATTCCCCAAGTAGGAGATTGAGCCAATGTCATTTTGGTAGATTTAGTTTGAGTGTAAGAGACATCGGCACCATCACTGTCACTCAAACCCATTCTATCACCTCCCGCAAGCATCAACACCGACTCCGGATTGAACGTAATATCATCAAGTACTTGGTAATCGATTATCCCAGCCGTGTGTTGACTTGTTTCGACCATTTTTGTGGATCTAATGGATGTAGGGAAGTGAAAATTCTTGATGGAAAAATGAAAAGAGTTGCTAGAGAGGTTAAATCTCGATTGACCAGACTTAAGTGTTTTGCAATCAAAAGTTACGGTGCGATTTCCTCTCTTGTGAGCTATAAAGTAGTAGTCTGCTATTATTGTATGCAGCTGACAAGGGATCCTTTTCTTACATTATCCGTACACATAATTTGTGGTGGCCGAGTACCGCTGCGCTGCGGCTCAATCTTCGCAAATGCCTTCTTTGCCCGCGCTTACATACATAATGAACATGGCCCTTGAGGAGCCTCGAGTGTGTCGTATCAAATGATTCATCTTCTCTTCACGTGAATTCTCGCTTCCTTCTCGAGGATGGGATTGTGGTGATATTCTTAGAAATACAAGCTTCAGCATCGAAATCTGCAGACACTCACTCAACCGCTACGAGGTGATTGTGGTTGGGTTGAACTATTGGGCTTTCTTCCTTGTAGACACGTAAATATATATACCGTGGCGGGGGCTGGTTCCAGGTTTCGAGAAGGTTTTGGTATGACAGGCAGACAGGAGATGGGCAGGAGATGACAAGATGACTCCACGGAGATTGAGGTTGCCAGATACCGTCGTCCATAAATAGAATTAAACAGCTCATAATGGCGTTATAGAGAAATGTTTTGAGGCTTGATAATAAACCTTTTAAACATGACAATGTTTGCTGGGAAAGATAAAGGTTACAAGTCGAAGTTTATAAGTTTGAGGCCTTGGGGTCCGCGCGGCAAAATAATTAATGGCGATGACTAAGCATTCATTGGTGAGGAATATCATATCATTGCTCAAGTAGTGTGGCAGTGAGATTGTTGATTGATGTTATATTATAATAGTTGCTATGTCTGATTAGTTTGAATCAGAAAACTATCATCATAAGTTGATGCCCTGGTTTGATACGTTCAAAAATCAACTCTGCTTCGTTCTTTGAAATTAACCTTTGAGAATCTCAAAACATTCATCAACAATTGAGTCTTGGAGGACTTTTGCCATTGTCAGATGAATATTCCAAATGTGATCCTCCAATTCCAACGTTTGGTATCGAAGGTCTTTTATTTTGCCTGTTGTCTTCCGTGACTGCATCTACTGCACAAATATGAAAGGTCTGTTGATGTCAAACCTGTTGATGTCAAACGATGTTCACATAGATAGAACACAATTATGTACTAAAATAAATTTTGTGTTTGTCATTTTGAGATATCAGACTAGCTATCTATCTATGCCTTGAAATACCATTTACTCACTTATCCCAGAGTTCCTTTAAAACGCCGTCGGATATTGCTAGCAAATCTATCCTATGCCATGGTTGATGCTGCTTTGTCGCAAACCTTTACGAGTATGTCTATTAAAGTCCTATTCAGCCCTTGTACATGCGCCTCTCAAGTCCATTTCTGCACGGCTGTGCCACCTCTCTTGAATTCTGACATTTCACCCAAAACCTGATTCTTCTCGGTATGTTCTTTGTTTGGGAACGTCGTTGCTAGTACCCAAGCGCGCTCGTTACTTCCAGGATATGCTCTTCCAATAAAATCATATACATCGCCGACTGTGTGCGTGGCATTGAATCGAGCGGGAATACGCGTGCCGTTTGCAAGTTGAATTCTAAGGTTAAGTGTCGGTTGCGAAGCATCAATCTGAACCTCTTGGCTCGTTGTTGAAGCGGGTATTGGTGCTGGTGCTGAGGTAAAAGCTTGTGTAGCCGTAGAACTTGAGGATCCCCCTGGTGTAGGACTACCAAGTCGCTGGCCCGATCCACCAAAGGGTTTATAGACTTTGGGTGGAGCCTTGTAAGGTCCATCATGTTTGTGCAAATGAACATCCACAGTTTGGTTTGGTCTAACATTCATCAGGTGAAGAGGAGCACGACCGTTTTGAATCAACTGAAGGTCTTGCTCGTTTTGCGGATCATCGAAGCGACGAAGTGGGCCATCTTCAACACTGAATCCATTCTCCCAAAGGTGTAAGATTCTTGACGGATTCTGAGAAGTAGTTGATGGGGGATGAGGATCGGGGATCACTTGAGAAGGGGCGTCGTCACCACCGAGCGTTTGACCACTGCCACTGAATCGAGAAGGTCCTGCCGCTGGAGGTGGGTCTCCGTTGTCTCTGTCTCTGATATTTCTGCAAACGGTAAGAATGGCAAGTCTACAAATAGGTGATGGAAGAGACTCACGCTTTGGCTTGCTTAAGGATATCACCAACAATCTTTCTCGCATCGTTCTTCTTCGACGGATCTTGAACGGCCAAAGCTGACTTTTCACCACCAGCAAATAAATCTCTTGGCTCGTCATCCGGCGTATAACTTGGATCGTCGGAATCATCATCGTCCATACGAGCACCATGACCAGAAGAGCTTTGATTCAAAGATCCAAGAGTTGCGATGCCTCCACGTCCTCCAGCTCTGCCGGAGGTACCTGATGGTTTTGCCGGTTGCTTACCATTATCGGGAGCAGGTCTACCATCAAGAGTTCTTGGACCAGTGTAAGGTGGTGGTGGTGGACTTTCTTCTTCTCTGTGCCATGTAGCTGCTGTTGGGTGTTCTTCTTCGTAAGAAGTGAAATATTCCGACATAGCTCCTGCAAAATCCCATTGACTTGCGGTAAGAAATTGTTGGGCCTATAATCGAGAAGGGACAATGAATCAGCGATCAATAATCATATGTTACAGATATAAGGATCTTGCAAAATTTGTCCCCAGTTAGTTTGTTTGTTTGTAAACTCACCTCTGATGGCGAAACATTGGTAATTCCGCAAAACTGCGAAATCAATTCATCATGAGTATGAGTATCATTCTCCGCCATGGTTGCTTTAATCTTGTGATGTTGCCGTTGATTCAGAAAGAATAATACTGAATACTTTCTCCTCGAGATCGATTCTTTCAATAAATAGAAAAAGTAGTTGAGAAGATGTGTGATAATTGTAAATGCCTTTTGACAATTTAATGATTTAATGGTTTGATGGTTTGATGATTTGATTGTTTTTTGATGGTTTAAAGGTTTTAGTAGTAGGTACCACGAACCACGAACCACGAAGAACAAGACAAACCCAACGAGGCAGCTTTCGGATAACGTCAGGTTTGTTTTGGCGGGGCGATTATCAAATCGGGGGGGTGGGGGTGATGGATTATCATTTTTCCGTGACTATCAAATTCACTTATACCGGTAAGTCAACAACATCAAGCTATCAAGCTATCAAGCTATCAAAACTGGTAGATACCTTCAGAAAATTGAAGATAATCTTATTCGGAAGCGCATCAATAGTACACACCACTCAACACAACACTCTCTACTCTATATAAACAAAAATGTCTTCAGACGAGCAACTTAACCTACTCGCCGAATCCGGGATAACGATTTCCTCCGACTCAGAGCAATATTCTCGCAATGAAGATGAGACTTCCCCTTCTCCGCCCTCATCGAATTCTCCGCAGATGATTCTTTACTCTCCTCCTACATTTTGGGGGTTACTCCGGGGTGCTGCAATCAATCTTGTATTGCCATTCGTCAATGGACTTATGTTGGGATTCGGAGAGCTATTTGCTCATGAGGCAGCGTTTAGGTTGGGGTGGAGTAATACAAAGGTAGGAGTGAACATTTCAACGTTCTTTTGATACCTCTGCTCAAGAATCTATAACGTCAAATTATGATTATTGAATGACCAAGGGCCCTTCCTTTCTTCTCGTGTCTTGTCTGGTTGTTCAGTGCTGATTAACTTCCTTCACATAGATTTTCCCACCCACGCGAAGATCTGTAGGACCAGGAATTGAAGTTAGAGATAGCCCAATGGAGCGCAAGTGGAGAGAGGGGAATCTAGATGACTTGACGAGCCTTGAATGAGGGAATATGTTATAAGATGTGCAGGATATAACGGCGTTTGGAGTTATGCCCAGCTCTTTTCCGAAAAAGAGATTGATAGAAATCATGGAGAGCATTGGGGGGAGAGACCACGTATACAAAGTTAGTTCTGGAAATACCAGGCTGAGGGACTTTGTATCAAACAGAGGTGAAAGTTACGTTTTCTAATGGATCTAACTGGGGAATTGGGGGAAATAGCTCAAAGATTTGTAGCTTGAATCATGAAAATATCAGTGAAAATAACAGATAATAGATCTCATTTCCTTTATACGTGATGTATAATATAATACCTACCTATATACCTGTCTACCTGTCTATGTATAAGAGTCCTGTGAATAATTATTAAATATATTGCTATTACTCCTCTGCTGATGTTGTGTTTTTCAAACCTGTACCCGGTATTCTCTACTTGCACCACAAATTTATTATGCAGGCTTTATGCTACGCGATCCGATCCATTCTATCAATCCCATAACCTTATCCACCACCAAATAATTTTTGCGATACCGAACTAAGATCCAATATTTCACCACCCATTCACACAAGAATGATACCCAGCAGAGGTTTAAGATGTTCTCATCAATCGGTGGCCTTGGGTAGACGGCGGATTGAATCATATGGAATTAGACAGGTATTTGTTTTCCTCATAGCGCAACCCGCAAGGGCAACTGGAACAGCTTTGACTGATTCCTTTGATATAACAAGTTCTCTTCAAATGTACAGCGATCCATTAGAGATAATACGCTTCTTTCAAATAAAGGCAATAGCACATTATTTTCACAGTCAATTGCCCGATCTTCCCTTTCAAAAGCCAATACATTCACACGAAATGCCACCTCCATACGTTTTGCATCAACTGCACCCTCCGCCATACCTCCCGTAAATTCCTCAATCTCCTCAATCGAAGCCTCTTCATTCGAATACAAACCTGCCCCACTCGAGATCGACGTTGCTGATATCACTCCTGATATTCTCACCGCGCCCGAACACATTGGTTACCTACACTCTCTTGGCCTCGACTATGGATGGGGTCCTACCTCTGTCATAGAATGGACGCTGGAGCATGTACATGTCTTTGCCGGAACTCCTTGGTGGGTATCCATCGGACTAACAGCTGTCTTATGGAGAGTCATTCTATTCAAGCCTTTCCTCGATGCCGCGGAAAATGCATCTCGAATGGCTGCCATTAAGGAATTCACTGCTCCAATTCAAGCGCTGATGATGGAAGCGAAAACTAAAGGCGATACAGCCGAGATGATGTTGCAAAGAACAGAAATGCAGCGAATGTACAATCGGGCGGGGATCAAAATGTGGAAAAGTTTTGTGCCGATGGTGCAAGTATTCATTGGATACGGAACGTGGAAATTATTGAGACAGATGTCAGATGTACCTGTTCCGGGTTTGCTGGATGGGGGAGTCTTGTGGTTCTACAATTTGACTGTCCCGGATCCTTATTTCATATTACCTCTTGCCACAAGTGCAATGTTGCATATTCTTTTGAGAGTAAGTTAGGATCGTTCTATTTCTCCCATCCATCCCACATGAACATATCCTACTAAGAATTGAAGAGCTGATTTGAGGCTACCACAGAAAGGCGGAGAAACAGGTATCAATACTCTTACACCCGGCATGATGAATGCGATGATGTGGGGTATGCCTGCACTATCCCTGCTCTTTACATCATTTATGCCCGCCGCTGTTCAACTCTCATTCCTCGCTTCATCCGCGATGTCCTTCGGCCAAGGCACACTTTTCCGCGATCCTAGATTCCGATCATGGGCAAACATGACGCCTCTCCCAGACGTTGAACCGCCAGCACCTGAGCGCACCCTGAGAATGAGAGAAGTTCCAAGTAGTGGGGGAGAGACTCAGACTTCGAAGAGATATTCATTAGATGGGACTTTAGGAAAAGTGATGGACGGATTCCAAAGTGCCAAGAAGAGCGTGACGGATTATACGACAGAAAAAGGGTCAAAGAACGATGATGCGTCAGCGAAGCGAAGAGCTGACTCTTACGAGGAGCGAAGGCAAAGAGAAGTGAAGGAGGAAATACGGCGTCAAAATGAGAGGAGGAACATGGAGAGGGAGAGGAAAAAGATGGACAGGGCAGGAGCGGGGAAAAAGGGTAGAAAATAGTGATTGAGCGGAGCGGGCCAGGCCATGATGATCAATTAGTAAATTGGTGGTGGATATGTTCAATGTAAACTATACTACAAGATGATTTCAATATCGATTGGACTGAGGAGACTCTCCGCTGGTGTCGCGGCATCTGTGTCCATATCCAGAATGGGTACTTGGGGATGGCAACAAACGAAAGATGGGTACAGATTAGCCTTGTACTTATATGTACATCAGATAATCCACACATTAAACTCCAAAGCCCTATTTTGGACCTAGTTCACAAGTCGAATTTACCAAAGAGACATAGTTTGGACTGTGATGATGAGCCGAGATCTTGTGCGCCTCGATGCACTCGGTGTTGTACATGGTAAAAAACACGTACCACTCGGATGCGCCAGTAGCGTGCCATTGACCCTTTCTCTGATTTTGTTTCACTGTTGGAATTGGCAAATTCTCGGGGAGCAAGAGTGTACTGTGGATTTATATCATGAATGGAGATGGAATTATTGTTACATGTGTCTTGCTCATGAAATCATGAATGTCAAAATACGTTGTGTTTAAAGATATGTTTTCTCTATTTTTATGACCTCATACATGTTTTGTGTAAATCTTCATCGTCGAATTGTACTTGTCTTGCCCGACGATGTTGCTTGGTGAAATAGTATGAGATACCGATCTGTGTTTCAAACCGCAAGTTTAACAGAATTCATCCTTGAAGCTGCTCGCTGTGAATTATTAGACGATATTATCATACCTCATCTCATGCTTGAACTTACAAGATATTTTCATCTAATAGTACCCGAAGTCCGACTAGTCATACAGCAAAGTTAGTCTCTAATACTTTAACTAAATATTAGTACTGTTGACACTAATAATATCAGACGAGAACCTCGAATCTCGAAGTCGAAGGAGAACATTGGAATTCCTTTCGTTCATATATGCTGTACTGGTAGTAGCAACATGTTTCTGATGTCAAAATATCTTCCCACCCCGTGGATGCTCCCGCAGATATATATTTCGTATGGTCCAATAACTTTGGCAAGGCTTTTGTTGTGTGTTCGGGTGTTGGCTGAGGGGATCAGGATCTTGCTAGGATTTTGTTCAAGTTTCGGGTTTGCTCGTGGAGATGATAAAATCAATAGGTGTGTATAGTTTCTCCTTTTGATGGAAAATAATAGCCTGAGAATATAAAACGAATGGTAGTGAATGTGGAATTGAGATGTGAAAGTACAACTAGCAACGTCGAGTTATTCTTTGAAGGGAAGGACTCAGATCACTAGATTTAAAAGAACCGACTCTAGGAAGAAGTTCATGATTATCTATGGCATTGGTTGAGTATGGTGTAATTTAGATAGTGCGAATAGATGCGCTTGATTGTTCCTGTTTTGTACTGGCCTACTTCAGCCATCATTGCTTTAAGGGGAAAGAGTAGCGATAGCAACCGCATTCGCGTTTGTAAGAATGTTGTGAGACCAAACCTTTGCTGCTAAGCAGCCGGCTTGTGACCCCGGTGAGATAGCGTCAGCGAGTCAGCCAGAAATACAAAGGACTGTTGATATCTCGCCTGCTGATTGGTTATCCATTATGTATGTTCGTTATATGGTTGAGTACTACTCGAGTACTGTACACCTATTTAAATGAGATCTGTTGATCCGCTGCCTACATCTGGATTTTGGAGGATACATTGTTAAGGTAGAACATAGAAGTTCAACGCATAAGCGTCCAGGATGAGGTATTATGAAAAGCCAGTGAAGGTTTACGATTTTCAAATTGTCAATGTGCTATCTGCATCGGAGTTGTGGATCTTGTGGAGGTCGGTGTAAAATTGCATGTAATGATATAAAGGAGACAAGATGTACAATTCCCTATCTACAGCCAACTAACAGCCAACTAACTAATAGGTAGACAACAGAAAGCCGAGATCACTCTTTACAAGATATCAAGATTAAATCAGATTAATAGATGGCTTGCACAATTTTATGTTTAATCGACATCATATGTTTATCACAAAGCTTTATGTGTTGCGATGGACTTGTATGGGCCAAACAGTTAGTGTTGTAGATGCTTCACGATCAGAATGGCCAATCAGTCAGCTAGCTGATAGCTATGATTGTTAGCTATTAACGTAAATCAGTAAACTAGAGTTTCAACTTATTATTAATAAGCTAATTAAATAATAATATAGTTGATAGCTAGTATATTGATTGAAAGGATTCGAAAATTTGAGACATTTTTGAATTTATTTCAAAATCTTCAAATTTTGATAAGATTCATCAAAAAGGAAAAAGACAAGAACAGAAATGTGAAAAGGGGTAGAGAAGGGGGATGTGGGAAGAGGGGAAGGATAAAGAGAGGAGAAGGAAAAATGGCTAGATCGGAAGGGGGAGGGGGAGGATGGGGAAGGGGAAGGAAAAGGGAAGCTCACATCTCATAGCTGATAGTTGACTGACTGACTGACTGACTGACTGATTGACTACTCTGTTCACGATGATCTCGTCCAGATGTTTAATATCCAACCTGTAATGGAAGATTACAGAGTCCAGTGATAGAGTCTAGATACCTTGTGATTATCAGTAAATCAACGAGTGGGGCAGTGCTAGCAACTGACGGGGGAGAAGGCATATGGAGTACGAGTAACGAACTATCGAGAGCTCATGCATGATATCCGAGCATCCAAGGGGCAGAGTCATGACCAATGCCCCCCCCGCCCCCCCCCCCCCCATTCTTGACTGAGATTAGGATCTAATCGTTCGGGCATGCAGGGTCCCGATAGAAAGGTCAACCCCAAACTACCGGAAGGAATCAGCTCGCGTGTCGCTGGTAACCCCTAGACTCTAGTATGTAGATAGAACATAGACCGAATCATAAACTGTAGTCTGTACGTACAACGATGATTTGTATCGCTAGTGAGCGGCTGGGTTGACATTCAAATGTTGTGTAACACTGATATGAGTCAATTGAATCTTTCTCCTCTTCCTCCATTTGCTAAAGGAACATGTAGTGGGGCCTACTTTCTGCAGTCGTTTTTCAATCGCGGGTTGGAAATATGCGAGCCCAAAGCAGCTCGATCTACTGTGACCTGCCAGTTTCATCGAAAGGTACAGCAGTTGTAGTCTTTGATCATTTTGAACAAAGCAGGCCGTCCGACCTTCCGGTTTGAAGAAAATAGCAAGGGGCGGTACCACGAGGTCGGGAATTAATGCTTGTACCTAGATGGTGGAAAAGTAATATCCGTTTCGATAGAGTTTTATGGCAGCTTCTCAGTGGATAGTAGTGGATATGGGTGGGGGGGCGTCATGGATTAGCTAGTAGTTCTCAATCAAAAAGGAAGGTCCCTTTCGCTAGTTCTCAAGTAGTAAGATCTTACCAATTTCTGTGCTACAAAATAATACTTTCCAGAAGCTCTACAACTGGAAGCCAATCAAGACTTACCAAATTATCTCCCCGAACTCGAGTGCTTGAGCTAAGTTTGTAGACTACCGACGACTTTCTCATGGTTCAATGTCACACATAGAAACTCGTGCAAAAGACTTGAATTCGAATTGACTTATATCAAGTCGTTAATTGTATAGACATTTCGATGTGAACTCGTGAACTCGTGAACTCGTGAACTCGTGAACTCGTGAACTCTCTGAAGACTGAGGGAATCGACAATAAAGTCACCCATTTGGAGGAACTGGATTATTCCCCGGGCCCCTCTTTAAAATATGAAGTTATCCCCAAAGTGTGATACGGATGTGAGTATCATGCATAAAGATTTCCCTCCTTTTCAAAGGGTTATCTTTCCTTGTGCCTCGGTCTGTGTACACTACCGGTACTACACTGTAACACTGTACGGAGGTAGACGATCATATGAAGCGAAAAATTACTCTATTTTGCCCCTTGTATATGTATGTACGTAAGAACTGTTGATGGTTTTTACCGACCCTTGTTTCTTGAAGTGATCGGAATCAGGATCGATAGAAAGGAAAAACTCAGTCTCCAGATTTTCATTCCCCATAGCTGAACTAAAAGCTTGGCAATTTTGAACGGAAATTGAATCCGGAATTATCTGACTGAGAGCAAATGATTGTTCTTATGAACTTCCAGAATCTTTAGATGGCGAATAGAATATATTATCGAAAATGAAACAAGTCAAATCTCGTACAATAACTATACAACCCTACTCGCGTATATGTACCAAATCACGGATTAGGTCAGAAATAAGATCCGAATTAAGGATCCACGCAAACTTTCAATATGTACCCTTTGTCACGAGCTCAACCTGCGGCACGGTATATGGTATACCAGGTGATATATCAGTACCAGGATTTATAAAATTCGAGAGTCGTCAAACATCTAATTTGTGAGTTGGAATGACTCGATATCACATCGTTGTGATTGTAGCGATATACCGGTACGGTGGCAGCTGTCAGTCAGTAGGTCTCCCGCCTCCCGCCTCCCGTCTGTAATCGACCGTGCGACAATATGTTCGAGAGTCTGGTATACTTTGGAGAAGAGAATGTTTACATTGGTAGATATCGTTAAGTATGCTGAACGATCGTCAACATTGATGATTTCACCGTAAGAAATTATACCCAAATTTCATTCGACATCAATGCTTCTCGGCGGCGGAACAATCTAGCATCAACTGTAGTCACTACAGTAGCACATAAAACACAACCACGGCACATTCGCAAGGCTTATCCCAGGACTTATTGATCAAACAGAAAGGAAATACAGCGTATACTGGTAGTGACTTGTAAGTGAGTTGATCTCTTCTTATTTCTACAGTATTAGAAGATCCTAAGAATTTGGCAGTTGGGTTCTTTCAAGTTTGCAGGTCATAACGATCAAATACAGTAATGATGTGAAATACTAAAGTCTTCTTCACGAATATAAAAATTATCGATATGATCCAGCTTTTGATTTGGATGGGCAAAGCTTTGCATGATCACTACACGAATTCGTGATAATTCCAGCTAGAAACTATTTATACTGGGTCCTGACTTGATTAGCTCATGCCCTAAACCCAAGTTACTCTTACCCCTACTTGACTACATCTTGATTCATCTTTAGTTGTTGTAGTTGATGATTTTAGCAGTTAAGTTGGTTTATTGAAATTTGACAGGCGGAATAACCTTGACGATAAACATCACTGTCCGTTGAAGTTTTGCACACAGGACTTGAGATCAGCGTATTAGTATTAACAACCCTATCTTCAGTGCCGGTACCTAGCAAGTATTGCCACATGTCACCAAGACAGTGATGTAGAATTCTAGGAACGGTCATATCTTCCCATTTGGGACATCACCGCTCGTAAATAGCAAACTTCCTTAACGCTTTGATCACGCCTTGCTCTCCCGTCTTTCCGTACACTACCAGATCTGCTCTTATAACTCCACTCTGGGGCAAAGTGGCCGAGATCTAGATTTATACCTGAACTTCATTTACCATACCTGGCTCCTTGCATCGGAGGGATCATGAATGCTTCAAATGTCGTCGTGGATCCTCCCGATTAAACGATTTCGCAAGTAAAAGTACATTCTTTGGGTCTTATTACTCTTGTCAAAGTCACATTAACTAAGGTTTGTCCACACATCGCGGTTCGAGTTTTGACGTTCGATTTATTGTAATATTCGTGGAGAAGTTGGGATATCTTCGGAGGTTTGACAACAACTGCCAGTGCCGGTTTCAATACAACTGGCTACTACTGCCACTGTCAACTAGAAGAATGGAGTCTTTGGAGTTACTGGCACGGGCGGAGGTGTCACACGAAAATAGAGGACCACAAATACAAGGAGTTGTGATACTTTTCATTGTGTTGACGACGCTTTCCGTCTGGTTACGAACATATTGTCGGGCGTGTGTTACCAAAAGTTTTGGTTGGGATGATATTTTAGCTGTTATTGCTTGGGTTCGTTTTCTCTTCTTTTACGTTATAATCGAATTTACCATGAGGTGCATTTGCTAACTGCTCCTCTAAAAGGCATTTTTCATGGTCTATTCTTCATTTGCGCTCCTGTCTGTAACTTATGGAAGTGGCCAACATGTTTGGAATATTCCGCCCGAACGTGTCCCAATTGGTCTCAAGGTATTTACATCTCTGTTTGGTTACTTAAATTGTAATTTGCGGGCTCTTGAACACCAATAGTTCAAGCTGTGACGAGTAGAGAAAAGAATAATGAGGTTTCTTCGTTGTTGTTGGGATATCCTCATCAGGGGGGGACTCCAGGCCTTTTTACTCGCCTAGTTTAATCACCTTTTAATATCAAATGACTACCTTCCTTCATTTTATACCTTTGCTGATTCTTTCTCTCAGTACTGGTGGCTATGCGAACCCGTGTATGTCATCTCCAACATGGCCCTTAAGCTTTCTATTGCTGTTTTCCTCCTGCGCCTCTCAAACATACCACTCCATCGCTACATTATCCTCACGACTCTTGTGGTGTGCGAAATAGGCGGTCTCTTCTATTTCCTCGTCTTCATCTTTCAATGCCAGCCTTCGAACTATTTCTGGACGAAGTATACGGATGGAACGGGGAAGTGTATAGACTCCAATATTCCAGTCGTTGCGGGATATGCATACAGTGCCATCACTTGTGCCTCGGACTGGATCTTGAGTCTTATTCCGATATTTGTGGTGTGGAATTTACAGATGACCCCGAGAGACAAGATGAGTGTGGCAATCATTCTGTCAATGGGTGCTGTGTATGTGCTTTCGCTTTCTTCTCCGTTTACCTCTTCTACTTAATGCCTCATCTCAACCCCCGTTCCCACTTTAGAGCGCCGGACTCGCATTTACTTACATGAATGATAATAGTGCCTCAACCGCAACTATTATTCGCATGCCATACCTCCGCGGCCTCTCCAATATCGCCGATTTCCTCTTCGCTACCGTTGATGTAGCTATCTGGTCCACTGCCGAAACAGGTATCGGTATTACGGCTTGCTCGGTTGCCACCCTACGCCCCCTTTTCCGCAATTTCTTTCAACGATCCAATCTGTTTGGTGGCTCCACAAAAGGACCTAGTGACCCGAGTAAAAACTGGGCTGGCTATTCGGATGCCAAAGGAGCCGGATATATAAAGCAAAGGAGTCTGGGCGTAAATTCGGGAAGTTCGAGAGCCGCTAGGTCGGGAGAAGATACCGACGATGTTAAATTAAGGGATGATATCCCTGAGGATTCAGGTATCACGACAACTATCGCAACTGGACAGCAGAAGATTGGTGATCAATACGATGACACTTCGGATGAAATTTCGCAACATCATAATGATAGATATGCGCATGATATCGATTTGGAAGGTGGACAAGGGCGAGATCCTCGAAATACCGAATTGAGTAAGCGAGCATCTAAGCATGCGGGGAGATGGAGTGGAGGAAAAGGGAGAAATAGAGATACTAGTGACGCGAGAAGTCTTAGTAGTGAAGAAGACTCTTCTTGGGGAATGGGCATCACGAAGACGACCAATACCAAGATTAGTAGTGTCAGGATGAGTAGGGTGGGGGAAGGTCAAGGGTCGTTTGGGTTATAAAATTTGTGGTCCTATTTTGGTGATGTAAGATTATAATAATAATAATAATAATGATGATGAGTAGATACCTTGGTGGAGTCGGATGGAAATCTTAGTACGGGAATATAAAACACAAGACCTCTTTCAAACCTTCACCCATAGAGCCTACTTGGCTCTAATATCATACTCGTCACGAGGAAGAAACCATCTTTTGATTGAGGGCATTTGATCCACTGGGAGGTTGGGAACAGTGGCCGCAATTTTACCAAGGTCCCATTACACCACAGATGCAATATCAAGGCTGTCCAACTCAATATTTCCATTCATTCTTGTTTACGAATTTGAAGCGACTTAAGCAATGGCTAGGTTCCCCGCATATTCGACACCCGAGCGGATCTCATTCACGTACAATCATCGTTACACGCCCACAATGCATGGGTCTCCATTGTAGTGTTTTTTGTTCAATTGTCAAATAAATAGATCTTGGCTCGAGCACATCGTTATGTGGGTAATGTGAGGACCCAATTGTAACCGTGCTGACTGCATCACATCTCCACAACAGGGGAAATGGCAGAAAAGTGGTCGGCAATGATACGGCGGATGAAAATCGTGGTGATGCAATAAAAAGTGCTGGCTCTCCGTTGCATAACGCGGGGTACGTCGTGGGCTTTCCCAGCGATGTCTAATTGAGACTGCTTTTACATTCAACTTGTAATTTGAACCCCGTTTGAAGTATCTGGAGGTCTGCTCTGCATTTGAAACAGTATCAATAGAGAGACAGAACACAATGGACTTCATGGTAGAATTCAGCCTTACGTGGTGGTCACCGTCACCGTGGCTTTCTCTCCAATTCGGATATGTGCAGATGCGGAGTCATTTTGAGTAGGAGACTATTCCCAACTCTTTTTCCTACGAGAGCCACAAATCCGAAATTGTTAGTGTATATGATCGGAGACGCCATGAAACGGCATCTTTGGAGCGTAGCAGGATTGGGATGGAATGAGAATTGTTGAGTTGGAAGCATTGGTGCAATGCAAAGAGTATCTGGTTGCCCAAGGAGAAGGCTTAGATCTTAAATATAAGAAGATATAGGGAACAGTATGATTTGGATGGCAAACTATGTACCGTATCCAGAAGCTGAGCAACTTGCTCCGTCTGCCTTTCTGGTGCGACATAAGTCGCGCAATTTGCTCAGGCTCAATTTTCGTGTCAATACCTAATTCCATCCTGTCCATACTAATGGTAATTTCCATCACTATCTTATAATTGGATAAATCTTTTCATGGTGATACATCAATATTGTTGCTTGAATAGAGCCTCCATGAATGGTTTTCTGTTGGACAATCGAAGTCTTGATTTCAACACCTGAAATATTTCCTTAATCTGTTCCACAAAATATTTAAGTTGATATTGAAATACAGAGCTGGCACTAAATTGTGGCTGGGAGCGGAAAAATGTTAAGCCGAACCGATGAGACTGCAAGTTGGCGGCGCGCATATCTTGCAGTTAGGCAACAAGCAGCCCCGCTAGATAACGACTATCCCGCAGCGCAGCTAAATAGCGGTCCCTAATTTTACTCGTCAAACCTTATAATCGATCGCAATGGTGATGTTGTGCTTCATTCCTGAGGAAAGACTGAAATCACGATGGATTAGATCCCATTAAATCTGTTACTTTCGCATCTTCCTTACCTCGAACATGATCGTCTCATCTCCGTCACCGCATCAATCAAGTTGTAATAGCCACATGCATTGCCTTGCCGTCTTTCAAACACATATGCAATTCTTCAAAAGCTTCGGCCGACATACAGGTAATGCGACTGCATAAAAGAGATTCGTCTGATATGTCATCTGTTCTCGTTCGACTCTCATAACAGAATATGAAAGGGTTATTCGTATCTTAGAGTTCGCTTACGGCGTTGAGGAAGAGCGCGGAGAACCGTTGTCGTCTAAAGTCTCAATGTGCCACAATTCCAAAAGCGAAGAGTTTCCCGATGTGAGCTCACTTTTACCTTACGATGGTTTCTGGTTTCTTGCGTTTAACACTTCTCTATCGTTATACAATAATTGAAGGTTAATCAATCGGATCGGTCTTGGCTCTTTTTACGCCTAATGACGTGTGAGTATCACCTCATCACTCTAGTAGTCAATTATCGTTGACTTCAAACTCGATCCTTCGACAGCGACCACAATATTCAACCTCTAATACCTCAAACTTCGATCATTCATTGCTGTCATATTGCAATCAATCTATCTTGGGATATCCATCAAACAATAGATTTTCTGAATGGTTTTCGCCGTCGTTGATCACAGTTTTCACTTTTCCTTACTAAAAGTTTGACAACATATTCGCACATATATTCACCTTTACGATAATGAATGGCTTCAATTGAATGTTCTAATTTTATAAAACCGAAGTAAGTCTCTTGCTTTCAATATTTCAATAAATGAAGGATTTTACAGCACTTTGAACTATAGAGACCCCCTACTTTCTTTTCACTGCGTTGTCTAATTTCATAGCCATCATATTTGCCATTGGTAATTCTTATCAAGTTGTGATAGCTTTCAACAAATTTTGTGCTTAACAGTAATAAGAAGCTGGCAATTGATGGTTGATTAGATTTGAGCACTCAGCGTCCTGATCGTTCGCCAGTGCGGATAAGTTCTCAATTTTTGAAAATGCATAATCATTCCCTCATATATAGTTATATACAAGGACTCGTTTTCCCTGTTTCCTGGGTGTCGATTGTAAATATGGAGTAACAAGACTATATAAACTCTTTCACTGTCGAAGTTTCGCGATGCCACTGTCGCTTAATCAGGGAGGGTTTTTCAATTGTGACCTGAGTGATTTCTACTGTCGCTGATTATTGACCCTACGCGAGGGAATATAACCTCTCGTTGAATTATATAAAGCCACAGAATATGGTATGTTTTATTTATATTCTCTACTATCGTAAATCTTTCTTAGATAGTCCTCCATGGCGTCAATATTTTGACTTTGTCCCTTGCTGTTGCTAGTAGGGCCCATGCCCATATTGCTGTCGCCATTGTCAACATACTCGCACCTCAAAATAGCGGGGATGTGGTCATTCTGTTCATAGGGGTGAATATAGAGTTAGGCGTATGTACCCCTCAACGCACCCTGCATCTCTATTTAAGGACTACCCTGCCTCCTGGAGTGGGAGGCCGAGTTTTTTGAAACAAACAAACAAACTTACAACGCACGTAAGTCTTCAATACACAACAGCAACTCCAACTTTTATCCTTCCTTGTGTCTGAACTACTCAATATCGTATTAAAGCACGTTACTATCATACACCTCTTTCTGAAATATTTAATTCCACTCCATCCTCTTACCTCATTTTGCGATACTCATTCAAGTCTCTGATTTCTATCATTCTTACTATTATTCCATCATCCTCATCAGTCTCTCAGTCTCTTTTTAGCAAGCGGCATCAGAATACCTGCATTCTGCAGCTTTCCCACTTAGTACTGCAAACAAAAGGTTGGTCGCAAACACTCACAATCATTCACTTATATAAGTTGTATTAACAATCTTTTTCATTTGTTGTTTGCTCTCATCAGATATTGTCTTGCAATCATTTCTTTGGCCAAAACTAATCTCATTCGTATCTAGATCCACTCCTGACTCTTGCTATACTCTTATCAACCTATCTATCATTAGGAAACACTACATTCTTCTTCATAATTCGGTCATTAGCTCATCTACCAATTCACTTCCCATCATATTTTTAATCGGATATTATATCAAAAAAGATGACTGGTCAAAACACCCCACCTCTCCTTGTTGAAGTCAAATCTAGCGACACACCTCCCACCTCTCAGTGCTTCAATACAATTGTTATGACAAGTCCTCCAGCTCTTGTCATTCGTACTTCGAACCCTGCAAAGCTCAAGGGAAGATGGGCATTAACCTTTGCTTCGCTTTATGATGATAAGCCTAGTCCTAAGCCCAAAGTCAAGACTGAGGACAAGGACAAGGACAAGGACAAGGACAAGGACAAGGACAAGGACAAGGATAAGGACAAGGCTGCACTTGATTCCCCATTATGGAAGAATGCGACCCTCGAATCCGCCCCTGTTGACGAACCGAAAATTGCAAAGAATGAGGAATTTCTACAAGATATGGGAGCTAGCCATACCAAAGAAGTTACTCGAGGCCTGACAAATGAATTGACTCCACCGCCGGAGAAGCTTGCGACTTCCGAGTTGTCTGGGCAAGTCGTGGAGGTTTCCCCAGAAACATCAGAGTCAGCACTCACACCAGTAACGGAATACGCTTCAATCGACCTCGATGTCACGTCTGCAGTTGTCTCTGATCTAACTGAAGATGTTTTGAATTTCGCAAAGCATGAAATAATACCAAATGTCGAAATCATCAATCATCCTAGCTTCAGCGATGTGGTTAAAGGCTCTCAGATGAATGACGACCCTATCGCCATCACAGAAGATACCAAAAAATCTACGATCCGTCATGAATGGACTGGAACATGCCAGTTCCCTGGAATCACTGAGATATCCATCGGCCTTCAAGAGGAGGTAAGTAACTCCTACGCCCCTCATTACATCAACTAATCATTCATTCAACAGAACGAGCTTGATAACCTCATCCTCTACCGTAAGGCCCTCGTCCACGACATGACCCTTGCGCCTCACGATCCCAACTTCTACATCGACCTCTGCAAACTCGATTCCAAACTCGCTTTCAGCGACACCTCATCCCATCACGCGTATCGCGCTCTTCTTCTCATCAAAGCTGGTCTTCAAACCGTTACAACTCAACAATCTGAGCTCTCCCGTTTGGTATTCACGGCTGTTTCGACTAGACTTCGCACAATCTCTACCGCAATTATCATTGATGAATTGAGGTCGATGTATGTTAGTGCTTATCGATGGTTGGTTCAAGGATTATTACATTGTGGCGCATTTTGGGATGGTTTGACGGTTGTTAAGTTTGGTCTTGAGGAGCTTCCTGATGATATCGAATTGCTCGATCTCAAAGCAGTATTAACTGAATCTTTCAAGGATAGGCATCGCAAAGCAGTGGACCATATCAAGGATGGGGAGATCTTCGATACGATTGCAGCTACTCGCCTAGGAATGATATATCAAAAGAGATACCCATGGATGGCTCCGAAACTGTTCATTCGAACACCTCGTTTGGTAAGAGAAGTTAACTCCATGTTTGCATCCCTTAATGCAGAAGTCCGACCTGTGGTTTTTGGCCCTCCAGGCACAGCTTCCACATTCAAATCTCTTTCAGAACTTCCCAAAACAACAGACGTTGGACCCCTTGGCATCTTCGCCAAGCGTGATATCGAAGAGGGCGAATCTATTCTAGCCGATAAGTCAATTGCCTGCGTTTCTGATGTGTCCCCCTCGACTGGACAATTTTGCGACGCATGTCACGCTGTCCTCATTCCACCTTTCATACGCCCATGGGAAATCTGTCTTCCATCATGTGGGTGTAAAGTCTCGTTTTGCTCCATGGGCTGTCTTAATATCGCCGTCGGAAGCTATCATAAAATTCAGTGCGGTATCGACTTCAGCTGGCTTTACGGTTGTATCTCGCTTCAACTTAATTGGAGCCCTATCATGTTTTTGCGTGTGATTTCCATCGTTCTTAGCACGCCTGGCTGGTCAAAAGATTCAATGCCACAGAAGAATCCTTTGCAACATCCACTGGTGGCAAGAATGACAGCCAATTACGCCAGTAATGACAAACAAGCTAGTCATGGATACGATTGGTCTTATCAGGACAACATAGTCGCACCCACCCGCATTCTCCTTGATCTCGGCATCGACATATTTTCTCCTGTTAAGAAAACACTCGAAGGCAAGACCAAGCTCCTAGCAAATAGCTGGACTCCAGAACTCATTCAGACGATTTACTGGCGCATGTCAAACAACGCCAATACTAGCACAATTGACATCGCTGGTCTTTTACAGGGTAGTTTATCTCCATCGATGTCTGAATCTTCTTCCGGAAATAGACTTTCCAGGTTTGGACAGGACAACAATGCACATTTAATCGTGTTGAGCCCCAACTATTTGTTTTTTAACCATAGCTGCAGACATAACGTTTCATGGAAAGGAACATGCTCAGACGGAACCAGCGACATATCATGGCTAATGTCTGGGGAAGGACCAAACCAGGAATTAATGAAACCTGGAAGTAGTAGTGTTGTTTGCAAGGCTAGTAGAGACATCAAGGCAGGCGAGGAGTTGACAATTAGCTATGTTGGTGATCCTATGGGCAATTACACAGATGAGGAGTTCTCCGAAAATCCGAAGTTAGCCATTGGAAAGTCGGAAGATGGTGCTATGAGTCAACCTCGATTGGCTATCCGGGGCTCTTTAATTAAATGGTTTGATGATGATGCCGGATGTGGTTGCGGCCAGTGTGCCGAGGAGAATCATGAGGAGAAGATGTCCAAGAGAATAAAAATGTGATACTGAATGAGATGTTGGGAAGATTTATTCATTGGGATCATTGGCTTTACCTGAAATTGAATGGGGGTTGACGTGAGGCGTGGGATGCATTGGGTTTAGGATCAAAATTGCGATCGCTGGGCGATGAGCTATGATGGCTAGGTAGAATAACAAAACAATAGCACGAACAGAATATATCCACATGGGATGTATGGGGCCTTGAACAAAAATGAATGGAATGATTAGTTAAGAGACATTGAATCTTTACTACACTTACTTGAGCGCGAGGACATTCCCGAAACGACTAACGAAGAACCGTCCAAATTACTCTTTCTAAAAATTTGCCCCTCGAACATTAGGGACAACTAATTCGCACTTAGCCTTATCCTCCATATCTCACTCCGTCATCGTCACTCCGTCATTCATCTATCATCAACCATTCGTCATTTTCTTCGGCTACTAACATAGGATCTGCGAGAGAGAAGAATACTGTCCAAACTCAACTAAATGGGTTTGGAGATAACTGTATTTTGACAAAGCTAGATTATATATATTCTAATTTTAAATACTAATATATAGATATAGAACTAAAATCAATTATATTTTCAGAATTCTTTCAATCATATTATCTATTTAGTTTTCTGATATGATCTACAGTTAGACCAATGCAGTTCGCTCCAAATCCAGTTAGTTGAGTTTAGACAGTAGTATCCTATCTAGCTAAGAGTTTTCAAGGAATCGTTCCTTTTGCCATATAAATATTAATACTTACCCAAAACGGATCAGAAAGCTTTCGTCAAAGTAAGTGAGTACTATACCAGATATTTGGGATTTATGGACTGTCAAAACAAGCTTTATGGCGCGAGAAGTTAAGACTGACCCCTGGAAGTCCGGGGTGCAGTCGGAAGCAGGGGCTACAAGTCGCTTAATAGGATTTGTTCCACTTTTGTGGACAGGTACATAGATAGGAGAAATTTACGGCCAAGATTGTCTCGATGTGACCCCAATATCTAGATGCAGCACATCGCCCTCGATTCACACGTAATGAACCTCGGCAAAAAAAAACAGCATCCTTGAGATGTCAACAGTCCAAACATATGGATGTCATACGCTTCTTCAATTTACACTAACAATCACCTTTGGTTGGATGCCGCTCGATGCATAAGATCCAGCTTTAACCCCAAAAGAATAAACGTACCGGTATTTAACTTCTAGTACTGTGTAAGACCCTGGCGAGTGCCAGTCCCTCCGAGTCGAGATTATCAATATTTAGAAGGCAATCTTTAGCAAAATCATCGTTGCCAACAGGCTTCTTTCGCTCATTGAATTACACTAAACTAAATCTTTGAGATGTTTGAAATCCCTAAATTGACTTGTTTACTGTTGAACGACGCATCAAGTAGTACTTTTGCTGACTAGGGACCTCTCCTTTAAGGTGAGATGGTGCTTCAAAAGTAGCCGATACGGTGACGGTGACGGCATGTCGATGTATGTATAATCACGTTGAAAGGCAGCGAGCGAAGTTCTGGCATCCGGTAAAATTCTATGGCGGTTCGAGGGATGTTAATCGAGAGGCATGTTGAAATAAAGGAGGTAGATACAATGCACTGGGAATTTCGCTTTTATCTTGTACAGCCATCACACTGTCGAAAAAGGGGCGAGGATGAGAGGAGCTGGTACTCAATCAGGGAGACTGCCTCTTGATTACTAACTCATCAAGAATCTGATCTAATCCTGCCAATTTCAACTTCCAAATTCACACGAGTACATTAGATACGATTGCGATGCAAATATGGCAACATAGATAAGTTTCCGTCTCACCACACTGCGGTACAGCCATACCCAATAGCAAACCTATTCATAGTCCCGCTGATATGAACCCTGCCTATCCGGACAAGCCTGGATGGAAACATGGGGGTCCATTTGTCTGCAATGTAACCACACATTCAGACATTCGTCACAGAAGCCTACAGTACACTCTGAACAGTAATAGAGTTGACACATTTAGTTTCCCCATGTATTCGATCCTCTAATATTATTCTTGCCAGGAACTACTCAAAGAGTCACGTATTTTGGGCTATGAATGAATAAATTATAATGCAACCTTTAGGATGTGCTGATGTTTGTTCATGACGGCAGTCTATCTACGGAGCCTAAATAATGTTCATTCCATCATTATGGTTCAGCAAACTCTCGATCGTTGTATTCTTCATACAATCTATGATTGGTAGAGAGCCCATGTGGTGATTTGATTGTTATTCTCAGCCTTTGGACACTACCTTCGCCTGTAAAGTAGAGGAGGATCTTTTATTCTTATACTGGTCATTTAGACATGAAAGAAATTTCATGATGAATGAGGCTGCATTAGGGCCAATCGTTTTAATTCTGCGAAATTGATTACTGAGAAACTTTCCTCATCCCAAGAGCTGGCGAATGGTAAATATATTCAAGCTTTGGTGACTTACCAAGGAAAGCATTCACAATACGATTTATGTACAGACTCTTATGATAGACGACAGTAAGAGTTGCCATGCTATTTCGCGGAGAGCCATATTTCAAATAAGAATTGCCATGATTAAAATGATAATGAAAGAAAGTTGTGACCAGGTGAAAACTACAATCAATGCCCTAATTACATGATACGACATGTGAAAAGCTCAAGCAAAATTGGTTACTGCTCCCTAGTCCGTCGACCACTAATCGATATATACCCGAACGTAATCCCTGAAGAAGCCAAGTACAGTTGTATGCCTGAGTTGTCGCCAGAGTTGCAGAAAATCATTTCCTTTATACGATTATCGTGCAAAAGCTCAAGCTTAAAATGGAAGTCTAATAGGAAATGGAGGACATGAACGAGCGCCAAGGAAATGTCGAATGATACGAGAGCATTGGAGGTGCCTTGATAAAAGATCAGCGACCCTCGTTTGTGTGTTGTGGGAGCCACGATGAATTGTATCGTATTGAGTTGTGGACTTGATTGTGTGATATGGTAGGTGATATGGCAGAACGACGTGACCTGAGGTGATGTGCTTTGAAATGAAGGGCGAATGTATAAATCATAGATATGCATTCCCAGAACAAATGCTAAGTGCGAAAACAATGCAAAGCAACACAATCGAACGAATCCTAAAAAAATACCTAGAACATGCTCAGAATATATTCCGAGCATTTCAAAGTTTGTGCCTGGGCCAAACCTTCAATGATTGTTCACCAATGTTTTGCACTCACAGTTTCCCAGTATAACCAAAAGAAAGGATGGTATCTCAACTGCGCAAGCATTTTGCACCGACGAATCATGAAACTATTGAAACAGACACTATTGTCCATTATGAAGTGAATTGTTTCGTCGTGGGTATGGTTGATATAAACATTCTTTTGATACAGCCCCCTACCAACCGACGCCATTACCCCATCCACCCATCCGCTTATAGCAAGCCTTGCTTTTGTAAATCGTAGTAAACCTTCTCGGGCATAACATTTCCCTCTGCATCCTCCATTTGAACAACACCAGTTTCTTCCGTCTTCCCCTTCTTCTTTTCCCTTTGTAATTTATCCCACAGCTTCAACGCATCTTCAATTCCCGTTATCTCTCGGAATAAAGTCGTATTTGTGATGCCTAAGCATTTTAAACCATAGATATGACGAGCCTCATTGAAATGTTTATCAAAAGCTCTTCTGCCCATGTAAACATAATTTCCACAGATTTCACATTTGAATTCAACACCGAGTCCGTGGAGTTTATAAAGCCAGAAAGGGATGGGTTTGCCGTCCCAGGCTAACGGCAGCTTCAGTGGGTTGTAAATCTTGTCATCTCCATCCGAATCGCTGTCGGAATCTCCATCTCGAGGTGCTGCGGATGATGATTCGGCGAACAACGAATCAAGCTCCATTTGTCGTTCACGCTCGGTCATACCTTGCTTTCGTTCGACGTTGACTCGAGTATCGCTTCTTTCTTGTGTCATGGCAGCAGCGAGACGTCTGACTCTGTACTCTCGCTCCGCTATGGCACGTTCCTTTAGACGGGAAGTAGATGATGTTGGTTGTGCTGCACCATTGCTCTCCTCCCCAGTCTCGGCTATCCGCGCTGCTCGCGCTTCTGCGGCTCGAACATGCTTCTTTCCTGATAAATGACCCTTGTACACATTCTCATTCTTGAGTTCCTTTTCACAGTCTGCGCACCAGATTTCAGAAGTACTCGATCCATTTACCGGTGCTGTAATCTCCAGTTTCCACCCAGGAACGTCGTTATCCTTCCATGCCTTATCGAAATCTTCCTCAACGCTCACAAACAATTTCTCCAAATTTTCCAACGGCCTTGTTCGACGCATAAAACTTTCCAGATAGTTTGCTAGTTCCCCAACGTATGCGAAGTATTGATCTGTCATCTTATCTGGGCGTTTCACGGGACATGTTGGAGGTGCGAATGAATCGAAATTGTCCAAGTATTGCAAATAGGAAAGGCGCTTGATATTGGGGAGGTTGAGAAATAATTCGTGAATGGTAGTGAGATCTAGGAATCTTCCAAAAGCTTCCTCACCCGTGAACATATTGTCAATTTCGGATGTGGCGGTCTCCCCTTCTGTAGGTGCCTTCTTCTTGTATGCCTTTTCGAGATTCTCAACCGGCTCATTTGGATATCTTTGATGAAAACCCTTAATTTCTCCAAGTTGTTTATAGAATTCTTCCAATGGTTCGCCAGTCGATATAGATTGAATCTCTTTACTTCGGACCCCGTCTACATCTTTGTATATGTCTAGTAATCGTTTAGATTGATCTTGGATTCGATCGAGGAAGTTTCCGATTTGATGGTCTCTATTTAATCGTTCTCGAACCTAAGGAGTAATTCAGTATGATTGATATGATTGATGGACACGCAGATAGCTTCAATTCTTACCTGTTTTGGATCTTCAATCACTCTATCGGCGATGCCTTGTTCGAGCCTTTCGAGATCCTCATGGAGGAATCTCTGCTCTTCCAAAATCATCTTGTGGATTTGTTATCAAACTAAAGGATGACTGAATTTGTGCTGGCACAATTTGGTGTAATATTGTGTCGACGACGAAAAGATTGATGTTGCTTGAAATGATGTTTAGGTAGGTAGATTGTTGATGGGGGCTCTTGAACTTTTTGCGCCAACCAATCATTTCGCGTCAATCCTAGAAAGACACTAACTCTAAATTTCGACGCTAAAATTTCAGAGGTCCATTGTCGCATCTTGGTGTAGGCGGAGAACTTGAATCCCATCAAAAGCAACTTTGGAACGTCAGCTTCAACTTCAACACAAAATCAACAAGTAACCGCAATCATGGCAGAAGGAATTGATAGAAAGACGGATGACCGTATGGAGTTCACAACTTCTGCGGATGTTACTGTCGCGCCAACCTTTCAAGATATGCATCTTAAGGGTATGTTTACTTGTACGAGACATCTGGTCGGGAGGCTCACAGTCATATAGAAAATTTACTCCGTGGTATCTACGCATATGGTTACGAATCTCCTTCCGCTGTTCAGTCTCGTGCGATTGTTCAAATCTGCAAAGGTCGTGATACTATTGCTCAAGCTCAATCTGGTACTGGTAAAACTGCAACCTTCTCTATCAGTATGCTTCAAGTCATCGATACCGCCGTCCGCGAAACACAAGCCCTTGTCCTATCACCTACTCGAGAACTTGCGACCCAAATTCAATCAGTTGTCATGGCGTTGGGCGACTACATGAATGTACAATGCCATGCTTGTATCGGAGGTACCAACGTTGGAGAGGATATCCGCAAGTTGGATTATGGACAACACATTGTTTCTGGAACTCCAGGTCGTGTCGCTGACATGATTCGTCGTCGAAACCTTCGCACTCGTCATATCAAGATGTTAGTTCTTGATGAAGCTGATGAGTTGTTGAACCGTGGATTCAGAGAGCAAATCTACGATGTTTACCGTTACCTTCCACCTGCAACACAAGTAGTTGTCGTTTCCGCTACCCTCCCATACGATGTTCTCGACATGACTACCAAATTCATGACCGATCCTGTTCGTATTCTAGTCAAGCGTGATGAGTTGACCTTGGAAGGTTTAAAACAATACTTTATCGCCGTGGAGAAGGAAGAATGGAAATTCGATACCCTCTGCGATCTATACGATACCCTTACCATTACTCAAGCTGTTATCTTCTGCAACACAAGAAGAAAGGTGGATTGGTTGACGGATAAGATGCGTGAAGCCAACTTTACGGTATCTTCGATGCATGGAGAGATGCCTCAGAAGGAGAGAGATAGCATTATGCAAGATTTCCGTCAAGGAAACTCTAGAGTGTTGATCTCTACGGATGTTTGGGCTCGTGGTATTGATGTTCAACAGGTTTCATTGGTTATCAATTATGATCTACCAGTCAATCGTGAGAACTACATTCATCGTATTGGTAGAAGTGGTAGATTCGGAAGAAAGGGAGTTGCGATTAATTTCGTGACTAGTGAGGATGTTAAGATACTGAGAGATATTGAGTGTAAGTTTTGACATTGTCTCCTGCCGCGCAGTACTAATCTACTTGAAACAGTGTACTACTCAACTCAAATTGATGAGATGCCAATGAATGTTGCGGATCTCCTTACTTAGTTTGTTGGGATAATTCAGTTGGGGCAACATAAATGAAGAGGACGACGGTGCTTCTTAAGCACGTCAAGAAAGCAACTTGCGTGGAGGAAACGGGCAATGTCCAGTAAAGTAAGCAATTCCAATATTTACGGTTGAAGTGACGTGCCCCCATCTGACATTTTGAACATAGATATCAGATTGACACAAATTTACAAGCAATTATTTCCAAGATATTTCATGCGAAAAGGTAGATAATGAGGCATACATTCAAAGTTTACTGATTTCGCTATAAACAAACCCGACGAAATGGCTGATTCATATGCTTCGCCCCCTCCTTGCTTTGCTCGTATTGCGATGGATCCGAAGGGATATCGTCGTGACTGTCCTGGCAAATTATCAGGCCTCCATGGTTGATGATTTGAGATACTTCTGTGAGTTAAGATCTTGTGGGTTGACCTGGAATCGTAAGTTATGGCCAAAAAGTCCACCAACGAAGGAATCATTCACCACCCCACCAACATTGGCCGGCAGGAAATCAACCTAATGGAATCATACACATTCCCCCATAATGATTGCATGATCGTGCCCCCTCCAAGGCTCCAACACGTATGACTTACATGTAATGCATGTATGCTGCACCGATGCACCCTCAAATGTAGACAGGGTTTTTATGGGGATTTCTATTGAGGTGATTGTTTCAAGGGTGATTTCATTTCATACAACTGCTTGGCAATTTCGGTCATGATGGGTTAATTGTAAGGGGGATTTAAGTAACAACTTCCTCTCCCTTTGCGGGACTCCCAAGGTTGAATGATTTTAAAAACTTCAGATGACAGACACTCGGATGAAGTATTGAATTACAGTACGAAGTTGTATAAAATGTACTCAAGTAGATCATCTGAAGGTGCCTCAGATTTGAGATGGAATGGTAGTGCCGATAATATGCTCTATGGGGACAAAGGTCCTGGAAACAGAGGATAAATTTGATAGAGACAAGTGAAGGTCCGGGGAAGGGGTTGATCAGACAGTGGCGTGTTTGAGGTGAGATGTGAGATGCTTACCTATTATATCGTGACTTGAAGATAGAAAAGATTCATGTTTATCATCAATACAGTACCGGTACTGTACCGTACAGGAGGAGATCCTGTGCTCGTGCTCATCCATTACCAATAAATCATGGTGAAGTCTCACCGCGAGACTTCTTGCTAACTTTTTAGGAGCTTTGCTAACCGCTGTTGTGGGCCCAATCCCGACGCGGTGCAGCAACCAGCAACCAGCAACCAGCAACCAGCAACCACCAGCAACCACACCCCACCACCGCAGAGAATGAGGCTGAGGCTGAAACCCGTTTGCTATAGCCAGGAACTTATTATTTTCCTTCCCTTCAAATTGAAAGTACTAAACCATGTCGGTCGGTAATTGAACGACGGGATGATTTTGATTTGGGATGTGATTGGTCGAAAGGATTGAAGGAACGGTTTCATGCAATGGAAGGGATAAACAAGGGGAGTTTATAATTATCTCGTATAAACATCTTTAATATATCGGCATCATCATCGTCATCATCATCGGCATCGCTATCGGTACCTACCTATCTATCTTTAACAGGAAACACAGCAGAATAGAATAAATATAAATTGGAGAAGGCATTCGTATATACGGATATACCTACTAAGTTCATACTATATAATAGATACCCACATCTCTCTCACATCTCCTATATCTCATCTCCATATAAATAATTTACGAATGGGTAGAGATGAAGATCAATTCAGGTACCAAAAGCCCCAAGCGGTTTATGCAACTCTGTCTGCATTTACCCCTGAAAATCAGTTATAGTATCTATTTTTTTTTTAAATAATAATAAAATATTATATCATTACATCATATCATATAAAGAATTAAATATATTTCTATACTCATTCCATCTAGTTATTAATTACTTTATTATACGTTTATATAAAGTCTATTTCCATTCCAAGAATAATATCATAATATCTAATAAGAAAACCCTCTTCCCGTATTCAATATCAACTAATCGTATTGCGCATAACCAATCATCTTATATTAAGAAAAGATGTACATATACTTTTCTATCTTGAGTATAGCTTCAATTTTATTCTTACTTATTCTACCCAAGTACCGGATCCATTCATAACATTTGTATGGGACCTTATTTAGTTTTGTTTCGCCGTTTGAGTCTTTTAGTCTGTTCATCCCATGCTTAATCCTATACTCATCAGTGTCATCTCATCCATTCTCCTCCCCCCCTCCCCCCTTTCCCAATGCTCATGTCCAACTGTCCAATCCCCCTTACCCTACCACCCCTACCCAACCACCCCTACCCACTCACTTACCTTGGCCAATCTTGCCCACCCATATCCTTGGCATTACACCCGTAGGACCCTCTCTGTGGGTAGAAGTAGAAGTGGTGGTGTTGTATTGAATTGAATCCTTCCACGCTTCTTCCTCTACTTACCTACCTCTCCCTCCGCCTTATGTATCGACTCCAACTTTTTGTTTCTTGCCTCTTTCTCCAACTTTAAGAGTTCATTCATTCATTTTTCAAGAAACATACTTCACACTCATTTTTTTTCCATCTATCGACACTCTTTTCGTGGCAAGGCACAC